TTTAGAACAATCAAAATTCAATTCAACTAAATCATTGATAAAGGGGAACTTTGCAAAAGGGGTTGATTATCTACATTTGTTTTCAATATCTAGAATGATTATCTACATTTGTTATTGATATCTAGAATTGTATTTAAAAATTTCCTTTGTTAGAATTGAAGAAATCAATTTTTCCTTGCTTGTCTACAAACCCCCGCGTGCCAACCATCCAGCTGTGATGAGATCTCGAGTTAATCTTAAATGGACTTCACTATCCCGAAGCTCTTGAGACGCACTGATGTAAGTGGTAAGTGATGGTGCGAGACGAGGGTCTCTAACATTGGGAACTACTTGTACTTGACTGTCGTAGTCCGTAATAATTGGGTCTTTTTCTAATCTTTCCTCGACAACCATATTGTGTAGTATGATGCAGCAATACATGATCTGCCTGAGATCACATATCTTCCAAAGCCGACCGGGTTGCTTTATTATTGCCCAACGAGCCTGAAGAATTCCAAATGTGCGTTCGATGTCTTTTCTTGCGGATTCTTGCCTTTCGGCAAAGAAAGATGTTGCAGGATCACCCGGATGTCGAATTGATTTGACTAAAACCGGCCATGAGGGGTAGATACCATCAGCTAGATAATATCCTCGTGTGTATCTATTTCCATTGATTTCAAAGTGAAGATTGTCTTCCGTTCCTGTGCAGATACATGAACCAAATTGTAAATATAATCCTAACCATTTTGATCAAAAGAATGAATATGAACACACCCGAGAGAAATCTTGAAAACAAAGGGCTTGAATTCAAGATATTGATATCATTGAGAGATCCAGGTGATCCAAAAAAAGCGTGCCAAATTCTGCAACTTTTTGAAGCAACCGCTTCTAGTACTATACTCGGTGATTTCTCCTTGCCTTGATACTGTCCTTGCCAAGCACTGGGACAGTTTTCCCATGCCCAATGCATTCCATCGATGGATCCCTTACAACCAGGAAATCCCCGTTCTTCATATTCTTTCGTAATAGTCACTAACTCTTCCTCGTTTGGGGGTCTTAGAAATTCCGGACCGTAGATATCAATGATTGCTGAGCAAAATTTCTTCAGCGCTTTGAGAGATGTACTTTCAGCTATCTTTAGATACTCGTCTGTTGCGTCCGGAGGTACTCCATACGCAAGCTGACGGAGAGCGGCAGTGACCTTCTGCTCAGTTGATAGACCATATCGTCCTGTACAATCCTATTTGAAGAAAGAATGAATGAGAGTGAAAAAAACAAAGCAACTCAATCAAGCTCACAGGTCTTTGTTCCCAGTACTTATCATGCTGTACTAGCCGGGCGCAGATGTCTTTGAACATATCACTGGGCATTCGAAATCGACGTTGGAAGGTCTCTTCATTGTATCTTGGGTTTTCGGCGAGGTAGTCTCTGTGAAGTTGTGCATAGGCTTCTTCTCGATCCCTGTATACCATAATTTTCTTTTTCTTTGGGCGTTCATCACAGTTATCTTCTAAGCTGAGGTCTTCATCCATATCATCTAGGTCCTCTTGAATAAACTCTTGTGCTCTCTTGAGGTATCTTGAGAAGGACGTGCTCTTTACCATCGTGATTTATCAAAAAAAGCTGTGTGGATTTGGTGGGGGATTGTGCAAATGCGTGGATGGTGGATATTTTGAGTTAGTAAACTTTGATTACTATCAACCAGTGTGGAAACTCAAATTATCCCTCGAAGATAGTTAACTACTCTGCCATTACCTCGACACGAGTGTGAAAATTGGTCGAGGTAACTATTTTTTTACTTAATGTAGCGGTTGCTACCGCAAGAGACCAAGTTAACAACCGCAAACGAGTGCGGATGCTCTCAGTGCTGCATCCCTGGGTATCGTATCCAATCGGCCGATACCGTACCGGTCCGTCCTCCCAATAGTATCTGGTCCTGGATACTTTACCAAGTATCTGCGATACTATACTAGTAAAGTATAGGTGGCGGCGTTGCTTATAGGAGCATACCAGGGTCCTATGTACACCCCTCCCCTCTTGGCTTTCAGAGATCCCCCAATCTTTTATTACACACTACTTTCAAAGAACAATTCAAGTTCAATTGAAGTAACATCAAGAGTCTTATACACAAGACCAGTGATAACTTCTTAACCTTTGTTTGCTTCCTGATTAAAAGTAAGTAATACTGTTCTGTTCACCCCTTTCTTCACCCTCTACTTCCCTCGTGTAGAAACAAATAAGTTGTGGACCTCAAATCAACCCAAGCCTAGTGAGCCAAATACAGGCACTTTGTTTGGTGACCATAGAAACAACCAGTTTAGTGAACTCTACATCACTATTCAATATGTCAAACAGAAGATTGAAGGGAAGTTCTGGATCCAACTTCAATAACACTTTTATTATGATCAAAACATCTTTTTAAAGCGTCAACTGACTGAAGTCTGTCTAGATTTGTCCCAACAGACCAGTTAGCCTCTTTTCCTTGCACTTATTTCTTATAATTCATTCGGAATTACAATACATTTTGAAATCTAAGTATAATTACTGGAATTAAAATAAACAAACTGGCCATTAGTGAGCATTGAGCAATCAAAAGAGTACCCAATCCTCATAAAACACCTGATTTTGATCAACACCGTCACTGGATACTACTTTTAATCATTGAGTGATTCTTATGAATGAATTTCAATGAATCAAATTCCATTGGTTCCAGTGAGATTTGATCTTTTTGATTTTTTTTTAGGTGAAGGCTTCTATATATACAAGCAGCACTTGTGATTTTGATAGATTGCAAGGAACATTTGCTTTTATTGAAGGCTACTTCCTCTTGTTTGTAAGCATCAAGTACTTTATATCATTGATGAATGCTTTTGAAACATCTAAATTAATTTCAAGGTCAATTTTGATCTTATTGATTATGAAGAGGTTCTGCTTGTGTTTCACACTAGTAGGTACAGCTTGACCTTCTTCCAAAAGAGGGAGACCTTCTCAGCCCTGTGCACATGTGTATTGATATCCACTCAGATACATATCCACAATATCCAATTTCTGGAAGTCCTCTAGAGTTCTGGATCATTGGTATAAATAATGAGCCCACCATGAATACTTTTGTTCAAAAAACAACACATTGAATATCATGTTTTTGTGACTTGCAACAAGGGCTTTGTGCTACTACTTGTGCCAATTGTCTGAGTAAAAAATGTGATTGTTGATAACTTTTTCTTTTTCTTTCCCAAAATAATTCATGGTGGGAATACATCACACTTTCTTGGCCAACTTAGAAATATGTAATTTTTGAAAACTTTTTCATTTTTTGTCAAAAAGAATTCATGGTGGGCTCATTTTTTCAGTTGAGAGAGAATCTCTAAAAAAATGATGATAAGCAACCTCTTAAACATGCCCAGCTTCCACTTCCATGTGCTAACTCAGAAAACATGATTCTTGATAAATTTTGCATCTTTTGTCCAGCATTCATGGTGGTTCATTTTTTGCCAATAATAGGACTTTCTGAGTATATGCTCATTTTGAACCGCTGACATGAGCAAGTGCATACATAATCAGACCAACCTTCCCACTCAGCACAATTGGCTCTCAATATCATACTTGATGTTGGATCAAAGAGTTCAGTATGAGTCTCTGCCTATCACCAATAACATTTTCTCTTTTGTGTCTGTATCATATATATATCTAGAGATTTCTCCCTCATTAGTTATTTACAGGATTCCTCCAATTTTTAATAAGCAACTTCAAATATGAACCAGACATATGGCTGTACTTGAATTAAATGATATGAAACAAATATTATCCTCTTTTACACAAATCCAGAAGTACAACTTTTTACAAACATGATTAATATGTGATGAGGTGGCTCAGGTCAAAAAATATGGCTAAATCTTTGCAAAGCGGGAAAAGTTTTTACTGTTACTGTATTTCTTGTTTTGTGAAAGGACATGATCAACAGCACCTAGGAAACTTTCTTGAGAGCTCATAAATTGATCAATTGTTCTCTTTTCAAACAAACTGCCAGTTATCCATTACTCTTGATACTATTTGTTTCTTGTTCTCGTCAAGTTGATTACCCCGTTGCCTTTACTTTCTGGTTGTTTTTGTGAATTTTCATGAATTTACTTGCCATACAAATCAGATGTTCAAATATAAGACATGATACATGCAAGAAATGCCACAGCCACCATGTCATTGATCTTACCTGGAGGATTTTGAGCTATGTCGTGATCTTTTTGGATGTTCAAAGCAAAACAATGGGGGTCTTGGTCAGTCAATTTTTTTGTCTTCAAAATCCTTTTTTGTTATGATCACATTTTTAGAATTTCAAGGCGACAATATTCCTTAAAGCCGATTACAAATTCTGCTGATGTTCTGTTTCCATAGGTATGATCTAAAAAGATGAAATGCATTCTGCATATATGGGGTGTAACAAGATTTTCCACGACATACATAGAAATTGTCATCATGATTCTGCACTTGAGATGAATTCTCTCAACGAAGAATGATAGGAGCTCTGAGGGTTCGAGAGTTCAAGGATACTTTTTTTGTATATGACCAAAGCGGATCCCATATATACATACGATGCATGCTATAATATCAATCAATTGCTCAATGCTAGTCACACAAGGACGATGTTAAGCTAAACTGTGCTCTTATAAAATAACTGTGATGAATTGGGTCCTCGATAAATAGCCTATAGGTAACGTCTGGTAACGTACGTATGTACATCTAGATGTTGACAAGGTGCCAAGACTCAAGAGCTGCCAAGAGATATTGAATGCTGGGTTGCCTCGGTTGTTGATACAAGTTTAGTTCATGATCACGATTGTGAAGAGCGTCATCGATGAGACTGAACTGCATTATTGAGAAAGTCAGTTTTCAAGTTGGAGTTGTGGACTGTTGTGGATGATCTCATTCTCCTCATCCTCTTCACATTGCATTCTTGATGGTACACTTGAGTCCGAATTGAACTTCGACTCTTCAAAAATCACTCAACATTTCAGATCGAACACACGATGCCTTTCAAGCTTGTAGGTCAACCTTTGCTATATGCAATATCAACCTTTGCAAGCTTGGGTGTCTTTTTGGTGAGTTCATGTATTCCTTTCCCTCAACAAAGGTTCTACAAATGTTAGGGAAACATTATGCTGAGGACTTTTTGATGGTCTAGTTTGGATATGATCAAGGTGTTATGTCAGGGATTATTACAGGACCTTACTTTAAATCATTCTTCAATCAACCCACGCATTATGAGATTGGAACAATGGTCGCGATTCTTGAAATTGGAGCTTTTAGTAAGTCTATCAATCACTTATCGACTTCACTCATGAAGATTCACAACGATCTGATGTTTTTGATTTGTCGTTTAGTCACTTCGATCATTTCAGGTCAATTAGGAGATTTAGTAGGACGAAGACGTACACTTTTTATCGGAGCTGTTATTTTTACTATCGGTGGTGCAATTCAAACTTTCGCCGATGGCTTCTCAACGATGATATTAGGTAGAATCATCTCTGGATTTGGGGTGGGGTTTCTCTCGTGAGTTTTTGAGTAATGTCACCCGAGGAATGTGATCGAGAATTTATAGCAGCTAGAGCTTCTCACATATCTCATGTCAAACGGGACTTCGATTTAGGATCAATCCTTGTCTACCTCCATTTGGGCCACATCACTCATTTATATATCTGTCGTATTGCTCGCGCTGACTTACTGTTCTGCGCTGTTTCGATTTGTTTTGGATATCTTTAGGACTATCGTACCAGTCTACCAATCTGAGATCTCACCCGCTGAACATGTGAGTTGATCGATTGATTCTCCGATTGGAAAACCCAACTTTCATCATTTGATCTCATGTCGGAAACTGATTATCTTCTTATCTTCTTCAAAACCAAAAGCGAGGACAACTTGCTTGTATCGAATGGACCGGGAACATCTGTGGTTACACATCATCAGTATGGATAGATTATTTTTCATCTTTTATAGAATCACATTGGTCTTGGCGACTACCACTTTTATTTCAATGTATCATTGGTGCAATCTTAGCCGTTGGATCATTAATCATTCCAGAAAGTCCAAGATGGTTATTAGATACAGATCAAAATGTAGCTGGAATGAGAGTCTTGGTTGATCTTAATGGTGGTGATCCTAGATCTGAACGTGCTCGTCAAGAATATCTGGAAATTAAAGAAGCCGTTTTAGATGACCGATTAAACCCTGATCGGTCTTACAGAGCTATGTGGACTAGGTATAGGGGGAGAGTGTTATTGGCGATGTCTTCCCAAGCATTTGCTCAGCTGGTATGATCTTTGTTTCTCTCACTTCAAATATTCGTATTTACGAAGAAAAGAATTAAACTCCGACACAATATTTCTTATTTTCTGGATGTCTGACTCTTAGAATGGTATCAATGTGATTGCTTATTGTGAGTGCTCTTTTGCATTTCACTCAAATATTGTTCAATGTGACAGAGAAAGCTGACTTTTATTCTATTCTTCCTACGACAGATGCACCACTTGTATTCGAATCAGCAGGATGGATTGGTCGTGATGCAATCTTCATGACTGCTATCAACGGACTAGTATACATCGCAAGTACAATCCCACCGTAAGTCAGACCCTAATTACCTATACATTTATATACATTCATGATGTCTGAATTCTCCGATTTTGTGATCAACAGATGGTATCTTATGGATCGATGGGGAAGGCGCTTTATTCTCTTATCAGGAGCAGTAGGAATGACAGTGGCATTGACCACAATGGGTTGGCTTATTCACCTCGATGCGCCATTCACACCAATCGGAGTGGTGATTTGTGTGATGATTTACATCTCGTGAGTGTTTATGATACTCTTTTATATTTAAATTTTTGATAATCTTCAAATTAAATCGATGTAAATTTTGATTTGATAGTTGTTTTGGGTACTCATGGGGTCCTATTCCCTGGTTATACCCACCTGAAATCATCCCTTTACCTTTCAGGGTTAAAGGAGTTTCAATTAGTACAGCAACCAATTGGTTCTTCAATTATATCATTGGTGAAGCTACACCTGTCTTACAGGACCTCATCAGTTGGCGTCTTTATCCTATGCATGCTATTTCTTGTATTTTGAGTTTCATTCTTGGTTAGTATCTTTACTATCTCTATTCCTCTATCCTCTTTACTTACATTCATGTTTTTCTCTTGCAGTTTATTTTGCATATCCAGAAACATGTGGTGTACCACTAGAAGAGATGGACGAGTTATTTGGGGATGTTGGATTAGAAGACACGGAACATCAATCATTAGTGAATTCGGAAAGATCATCAATTCGAAATGCTTTAGAACCTCCCAATTTAATTGAAATTGATGAATTCGAGAGATTGAATCCATTGAGACGTCCATATTGGTTTTCTAGATTAATAAGAAGGGAAGATCATTCACCTATGTTGGTTTCTAGTGAAGAGGATTGAAGAAGAATCAGGGGTTTTGTATATTTTATTAAGGCAGATTTTATGATTTGTTGATATAGTTCAGATCTAGGGTTTCTTTTGTTTTGTTTTGTTTTGAGGATGGCTAGAGGGAAGGTAACAGACGAGAACTTGCTTTTTGTCATTTTCTTGAATCTGGTTTTTTCTTTGATTTTGTCTTCTGTCTTGTTTTCATTAAAACAAGAAAAAAGCATGTTCTTTGTCTTTCTTTCTTTCTTCTTTGTCTCTTTCTCTTGCATATCTTGTGTTCAATTTTGTTGGAAAATTTGAAGATACCAAAACCAGTATAGATAGACAGTCCTTTTCATTTTGTTTTGATTTGTTTGTAGATAAGAAGAGTTTTTTTACTTGAAATGATGATTCTTTTTATCAATTCTGGAAGCAAATGTGATGTGTTTTCCCTGTGAGTGTTTCAATTCACAAACTGTGTGTTTCCTCATAAGACTTGATTCAAGGTGTACTTGCCTTTTTTCAGAGGTGATTGATTTGATTTTTTCACACAACACTGACAGGACAAGTACTTGTGGTCAGATGATCATCTGACGAAAGATGCAGAGGCCAAAGAGAATTTCAAAGCCTTTGGTAACTCTTGGGGACCATGTCTTAACTATCTCTCATCAGAATGTGAGATGGCCATCTCTGGAATCTTCAAAAAGTGGAATGTCATTGTTAGATGAGTGTGCAGATGCCCCCTAGATGAAGAGGTTCATGTGGAATTGCCAACCCATCTCATAACCCTTATGGTTGTATCCTCAAATCAATTAAACAAAGGAAGGGTTTGCTTAAAAAACTGGTCAAAATTGACCAAACTCTCCAACTACTCACCAATGGAGGAACAAGTTTTGGACTGGAGGCAGAAACCAGTTGGATTTGCACATCTGCACCTACCAACTTTGCACAAAACCCAACTATATGCTTGGAGAGCAGCAATAACAACAATCCTTTGTGCCCTACATCCCTTCTTCTGTTATCACACTATCATAGCCTCAGCCATCACCATTTTCATCAAGTCACCATCTGCCATCATCTCACTTTCTATACAGCACCCCTATTGATTTCAGGAATCAGGCACACATATCAACAACTTTGATTTCAACTATTGACACAAAAACCTGGCCAACATCTTCAACCAATGCAGGCCAAGCTCTCAGGCTGAGCGCCAGACACAATGACCCAAGGGGCCCAGCCCCCCTAACCCTTGGGGCAAGGGTTTGGTCAAGTGTTTTGGGCACCCAATACAGCTTGCCCCCCAAAAGGTACAGGTGCGGGGGGATAAGTATAAAGCCCTTGTGGCTTACCTGCAGTTTGTGAGCAAAAAAAATGATTTCAAACTTGTAAAGACAGTGACAAGATAACTAGAAAACAGTAGAGAAAGTGATGAGAGGTTTGAGAAAAAAGAATCAAAAATACAAGAGGCCAGTGTTGAGGAAAAAAGAAAAGTATATGTTGATGACAATTTGAATGTCTCACACATCAAGTTTATGAGGGAGATACATAGGCCTAAAGAGACAAATTGGGACACAAAAGGATCTCTACACTCATAGGATTTGAGAAGCTCATTCAGGTCCTATAATAGACTCTGTCTTACCAAGGGCTCTCTGGGATGGAGTTCTGGTACCCCAAATTGCAAGGTACATCTTTGCTATCTTAGCAAGTCCTGGTAGGGAGTCCTCCTTCCTTTTCCAACATGATACTACATTCCCCCAATGACAGTAAAAATCACCCAAATAGCAACTGATTTCACTTCCAATGATGGAGTATGAGATTGGTTCTTTGCTTCCATAGATTGCTGTGGGAAAGCAATTAGGTTTGGTCTTTGTGTTTTTATCTCAGGGATTGGAGGAACCAGGGAAAAAGTTGATGCTATGTCAATGAATTGTTGCTTGAAGTTTTTGGAAGCTGTGCCACCCTTCATAAAAAATCTCTGCTCAATCCTAGGCATGCAATTTCTTGAATTAAAATCTTCAATAATTATTAGCAATGATTAATAATATAAAGAACTTCTTACCTCAAAGAACTTCATCTTGGGGCATGGGTTCTGTTAGGACTTGGTGTGGGGGTTGGCAAGCTGTGAGAGATGTCAAGGGTCCCTGTGCTAGTAGATGTAGACTGCAATGTGAAGAACATTAAAAATCTGCTTGACTAGATCTGAGGATGTGGTAGTCTTAGGGCACGTGCACTTAGGGCACGTTCACTTAAGTGATTTCTGGTGAGAAATCACATTCTGCAGAATTTAAAGTGTCTATTTGGTAGTATATGTTTTGTTTTTGCATTAAAAAATTTACGGAATGTGATTTCTGGTCAGAATTTCCTCAAGTGAACGTGCTCTTAGTACAAGTGTACTGGCTATGTATAAGAATATGTCTCATGACACCACTCCCCCCTTAATGACTTGAAGCCCTCTGGATCATGGGCCAGCATCATTCCACTTTATTACATATTACATTCCGTCCTTTGGTGTATTTGGTCCTTGCTGATCCTTCTAAAAGGCAGGTTCCTGATTGTCTTCTGGAATAATTCTCATTCCAACCAACAACCATCACCATTTCATTATAAGCTTACATATCTTTTCTCCTGTGAACCATGATTTCATTTTTTCTGCCAATTCTCACTGGATTATCTGATTTTACCTCACCAATTTTGCCTTCTCATCTTACCAACACTCCATTTGCCATGGATTGCATTGAACTATTTCAATCAGTGTGCTTCAACTTATCCTTGCAATGTTGAACAGCTATTCATCTGCCACAAAGATCAAGGCTTGTACCTTGTATGTGTTGGGGCCAATGGATGTTTATGAGGTGGTCAGTGTTCAAGATGATGCTTTCATCACCTGACAATATCAAAATCATAATTGCACCAAGATAATTAGAATTCAAACTTGTAAACTTGTGGGGAGGTTGAAATTGGAGTTGACAACTGTGACTCACAGTGACCTTATAATGCACATTAACTACAATATTGACTCTAGGTATATCTTATTCATGATGTTTGCTCAAAATGCCTGAAGAGGTCAATAAGACTGTATTGGAATTATGGAGTATTGACTTGACTTGAAGTGCTTGTGAGAACAACAAGGTACTTGCCCTTTTACATTCAAAATACAATATGGATCAGTTGTTTACTTCGAGGTTGTTTAAGACTGACACTGCTGGAGTATGAGGTCCTTGCAATGAGGCAATTGATTCCACATTGTACGATTTTTACACTTGAGTGACTTTGTCAGAGACGTGTTAAAGGTTTTAAGTAACTTCCCAATTGAACTGGTGCAGGCATGCCCGCATAGTATCTAGTACATCTAGAGCTCATAACCAATGATTGATTTTGAGCTATCACCCACCCAGCAAATACAAGTAGATACAATAGATAGGAGGTAAGCAACAGACAAGGGAGAGTTCTCACTATCTGAAGAACTCTCTGTAGAATGTTTTTTGCAGACCTCCTTGGAAATCAGGTCTTGTGGTGGGGAGAGTTCAACAAAGAACAATCCTTATAGGTAGAGACCTACCTCCTGCTATAAAACTTCCCTCACCTGGAAATAAGCTAGGCAAGGGAAGGGTGATCATTGGTGCAATGTACATGATGTTATAAAATTGAATGCATACATCAGGTAACTTTGTTCACTTTGACAAAATTGTCTCAAGAATTGATTACATATACCACCATAGCTACTCAGGCAATGATCCTGAAGGCCTTTGTCAGTAACAGAAAGGTATTACATGACATTTAGTTGAGGGGGTTACACCAACATTTTGAATCAGTGTATGTAGTCAATTTTTGGAATACTTTTGAAACATTACAGCATCTTTTGTACAGGATCTCTGAGTATGTTGTCTTGTACTTTGTGCTTCCTCTCTACATTTCCGCCAACCAACCGTTTTGGTAGTATCACTCATATACAGTGAACAAGCTTCAAAGTGTAACATGTCACATTTAACTTGCCCCAATATGTATACATAATTGGTCAAGTCAATAATCCCTCCTATGTAATAATATGAGTCATTTGATTACACACTGTCAGACATCTATGTGCAAAACATCACAAACAGGTTTATGCACAAAAAACACTAACATTATGGTCAAGGTCACTGCTACAATTAGTCTGGTCTCCTTGTTGAACAAAACAGCAACATTATATCCCTCGGCTTTCCAATTGACATAATAGATATTTCTTCCACTGTCCAATGCCTCTATGTTGGGAAAATGATTTCAGACCACTACTCATTTTGATGATATTGTGAGTATCTACACTGGGTGTACGTGGTAGCATGGGGTCTCTGGTTTTGAATCCGCCGCTGCATGCCTTTTCAATAAAACCTATTCAATGAGTATTGATGTTCCATAAATGCAATATCATCTATGCTAAATCAGCTTCCGCAAAACAAAACAAAACATTTGGTTTGAAATTCTAGAAAAGCTTGCCTGTTGAAGACATTGGCCTGCCATTGCATGTGATAGTTGCATGTGGAGAAATGGTATTGCTGATACCTCCGGGATCATGCAACACATTACTGATGACAACATCTGAAAATGTTTCACAGGCAACACGGGATGCTGTTTGCCAGTCTGCAAGAGTCCAAAAGATGGAAGTTGCTAGACCACATGGTATATTCAATTTCATCTCAAGACTTACCTGTAGCCAAGTGTGCATTCATCAATGCAAAAGCCATTGATAGCTGGATTAAAGTCCATAACAAGTTCTTCATCATATTGAGTAGAGCACAAGCCAAGTTTTATTGTAATAATATGGAAGTTATAAAGTGAAATCGAAGTTCAACACAAGCGATCTTGATCCTACTTCTGTTGAAGGAGTGGAGCCTTTTATATTGTGGTCTGAGATCAAGAATTGCACCTCTTGAGACCTTGCTTTGCAGGCTTCTCTTTTAAGGTTTTTATTTTTTCTTGATGCACTGCCTGAAAAGTCATACAGAATATGCATTCTTGTATGACCAATAGTCCCTCTCAATTAGCAGGGTGCTACCCAAGAATTAACCAAGTCAAAAAAAACCATTTGAATCATGAAAAGATTACAATTTGTTTCAACTTCAGATTCTCATAGATGACAATTGCACTGAAAAATCACCCGGTGAACACGTAGCTGACTTTATCTTCAAACCACACTTCACTTTGATAATCAATTCACAAAGCTTCATATCTCCGTGAGCAAGTCATTGACTGTTCTGCACTTGGCCTACTCAGTAGACTTGGGATGGACCTTGTCTAGAAAATCCTGAGTGCCACTTGCCGGCTGTGGCACTCAACAATAGTGCTCATCATTTTTTTCTTGTTGAGTTTGCAGGGTCTGCTCCCAAGTTGGAACACACCATTTAAGTAAATTATGTGAGTAATATATTATGCCTTATCTTCATTGTCTGATATATAAGGATTCACCCGCAGCTTGATGGCAGGAGCTCCGGTGTGGAACGGCGGCTCTGTTTGACACTGTGTATTCTGTTGACAAGGACACTGAAAGTATTATTGCACTTATCACTGAGTTTATAGGGTTTCCCCTCAACTCAGAACGCATCCTATATGAATTATGGAACAATCATGGGATGTCTTATCTTCAAACTGCAATAGATAGAGATTCCTCTTAAACCTCATCTGCTAAACAAGGGTGTCAATTGATCATCAAACTTCATGCCAAAACTCAATAACTTCTTCACAAAGGGATTTTTTTGTGAACAGCTGGTTATATGTCTGCGGCTGCTCCGGTCTCTCGTTGACTGAGTGTATCAATTTATCATCAAGCTGAAATCCAAAGCTGAAATCCACTGCTTAAAACCCAAAATTGATGATCCAAGATCTCAGGCTTCAGCTAGCTGTTGCCTTAAATTAGTTGGTAAATAAATGGCTATTGTTTTCTCTGTCAAATTTATGATTTGTTGATCAAGAATATCACACACATTTTTTGTTTGAAGATATTGTAAATTAAAATAGTGAAAAGTAGGTGATGAGCAAGCCATAAAGTAAGAGTCATTCATGTGAAAGCCAAAGAGCTTACACTAAGAAAACTGAGTCCATGGTACGGCCCCAGGGGTACCGTCGTGCATTTGGGTACCTGTATTATATATCCATGAAGATTGTGTTTAGTGATTGTATACCCCAAACAAGTTGAACACATCCAGGCCTGGGGTTGTGGAACCAATCTGTTTCAATTTGATTTGAGTATTCAAGAATGGTTTTTGCTTTGAATGATTTCTGAGCAGGTCATTGCTGAAAGTCTTTGTGATGACCATTGATACCTACACTTAGGGCACCTTCACTTAAGCAAATTCTGGTGAGAAATCACATTCTGCAAAATTTCAAAAGTCTATTTGGTGGGGCATGTTACATTTTTGCATTAAAAAATTTACAAAATGTGATTTCTGGTCAGAAATTCCTTCAGTGAACGTGCCCTTATCCTTATAACATGGCTTAGAAACTGAAGCAAGAACTTCATTTGTGTTCTTTTTAACAAAAATTACATTTTATCAAGTCATTTTTGAAAAAAGGATTACCCCTATTTCTTATGCTTTTCAGAATAGTTTCTGAAGTTCAATTGGTTGGCCTCTTTATGTGCATGGTTGTAACATTTACTTGTTTCAGATTCAGAATCTCTTACATTTTGCAAGTTGAAAGTAAAGACAACCTCAAACAAAGTTGATATCTGAACTTTTACAAAACTAATCGATTAAGATTCATACTTGGAGGTATTTCAAGCCGTTTAGTTATACATGATCTGCTCAAGATGATGGGTCTTGATGAATTCTGTTATGTTTTTTGTAGATATTTCTCAGCAGATCATCCAAAATAGATAAAGATGAGTGAGATATAATTGATGTAAAACCTGAATCCCACCTTTTCTGTTTTCATATTGGCAACTTCATCAAGTTTCCTGGGGTGATGCACTAGAACAAGATTTGTGAAGTTTAAAGTGTTAAATATTTGTCTACTTATGATGATTTATTGAAGTGATGATGAAAATTGATTGTAAGCTTGAGTGCTGTTGGATTGTTGAAGTGATGATCAGGTGAAACAGTGAAATGTCAACCATGGTACTTGCAAAAATCACAAGATGACTAAACTCAAAAGTACTGGGCCAAGTTCCCCAAAAAGGATAAACTAACATCAAGTCTAAAACAACAACCCCCTATGGGGTGGCCAGCAGTTTGTCCAAAATGTGACTCCTAAGTAGCCAAATGATATAAAATGAAATACATCTTGTAAAGGAACTACAAAGATCTGGCAAACTAAAATTAACATGACACCAAGACATGACGATTCAAAACAAAGAGATTAGCTACTAACAAAGATAATGATAAGATTTTTGATGTCTCTAAAAGACTTTTGGGTGACTATAAAAAAGAACCTCAACAGATGACCAGAAAAGGATTTTCTAACCAAAAGAAAGGGAGGGCTTTATAAATACATAACTAATGACAATGATAACTCAGAGGAATGGTTTTACAAAAGTGATGATGAAGAATGAACAGTAAAGAAAAAATGGTAAAACAGTGGTCAACAGTTATGACATCAATTACCATGAAAGAAACATAAACCCAACCTAATTATTACAAGTGTCTAATTATCCGTGACATACCAATCAGTGAATAATAAGTGACCTATGCAAAACTATTGACCCGGTATGTAAAGAACTGTCACAAAATCTAAATTAGTTGTATAGCCAATTTGAGAATGAATGTTTTTTTCAGAAAGTACTAAATCTAGCCCAGTGCTTGCAATGCAACTCTGACCACTCAGAATGGATCTTGCTTTATCTCTATCTGACAAGATCCAATTTTCATCACACATGGCTTGAAATTCAGGGTGGTCACTTCAAATTTTATTGATTTCAGGACATGACCACCTGCTGCTCTCTTTGTAAATTTTTTACACTTGAGTGACTTTGTCATAGACGTGTTAAAGGTTTTAAGTAGCTTCCCAATTGTACTGGTGCGGGCATGCCCGCATGGTCTCTAGTACATCTGAAGCTCATAACCAACAATTGATTTTGAGCTATCACCCACCCGGCAAATACAAGTAGATACAATAGATTGGAGGTAAGCAACAGACAAGGGAGAGTTCTCACTATCTGAAGAATTCTCTGTAGAATGATTTTTGCAAACCTCCTCAGCAATCAGGTCTTGTGGTAGGAAGAGTTCAACAAAGAACAATCCTGATAGGCAGAGACCTACCTCCTGCTATAAATCTTCTTTCACCTGGAAATAAACTAGGAAAGGGAAGGGTGATCATTGGTACAATGAACATGATGTTATACAATTGAATGCATACATCAGGTAACTTTGTTCACTTTGACAAAATTGTCTCAAGAATTGATTACATATACCACCATAGCTACTCAGGCAATGATCCTGAAGGCCTTTGTCAGTAACAGACAAGGTATTACATGACATTTAGTTGAGGGGGTTACACCAACATTTTGAATCAGTGTATGTAGTCAATTTTTGGAATACTTTTGAAACATTACAGCATCTTTTGTACAGGATCTCTGAGTAAGTTGTCTTGTACCTTGCGCTTCCTCCCTACAGTTCCGCCAACCAACCATTTTTGTAGTATCACTAATGTACAGTGAACAAGCTTCAAAGTGTAACATGTCACATTTAACTTGCCCCAATATGTATATATAATTGGTCAAGTCAATAATCCCTCCTATGTAATAATATGAGTCATTCGATTACACGCGGTCAGACATCTATGTGCAAAACGTCACAAACAGGTTTATGCACAAAAACTACTAACGTTATGAACAAAGTCACTGCTTCGATTAGTCTGGTCTCCTTATTGAATGAGACAGCAACATCATATCCAGCGGCTTTCCAATTGATATAATGCAGATGTCCTCTGCTGTGCAATTCCTCTACGTTGAGAAAATGATTTCAGACCACTACTCATTTTGGTGATATTGTAAGTATCTATGCTAGGCTTACGCGATGGCATGGGAGCTCTGGTTTTGTATCCGCCGCTGCATGCCGCCACCATAAAATCTATTCAATGAGTATTGATGTTCCATAAATGCAATATCATCTATGCTAAATCAGGTTTTGAAAAACAAAACAAAACATTTTGTTTGAAATTCTAGAAAAGCTTGCCTGTCCGAGACATTGATCTGCCATTGCATGCGATAGTTGCATGTGGAGAAACGTTATTGGTGATATCTTCGGAATTACGTGACACATTACTAATGACAACGTCTGCGAATTTGTCACAGGCAACACGAGCTGCTGTGTGCCAGTCTGCAAGGGTCCAAAAGATGTAAGTTGCTAGACCACATGGTATATTCAATTTCATCTCAAGACTTACCTGTAGCCAAGTGTGCATTCATCAATGCAAAAGCCATTGATAGCTGGATTAAAGTCCATAACAAGTTCTTCATCATATTGAGTAGAGCACAAGCCAAGTTTTATTGTGATAATATGGAAGTTATCAAGTGAAATCCACATTCAACACAAGTGATCTTGATCCTACTTTTGTGGAAGGAGTGGAGCCTTTTATATTGTGGTCTGAGATCAAGAATTGCACCTCTTGAGACCTTGCTTTGCAGGCTTCTCTTTTAAGGTTTTCATTTTTTCTGGATGCACTGCCTGGAAAATCATACAGAATATGCATTCTTGTATGACCAATAGTCCCTCTAAATTAACAGGGTGCTACCCAAAAATTAACCAAGTCAAAAGAAGTTCCATTTGAATTATGAACAGATTAAGATTTGTTTTCACTTCAGATTCTTATAGATGAAGATTGCACAGAAACATCACCCGGTGAACACGTAGCTGACTTTATCTTCAAACAAAACTTCACTTTGATAATCAATTCACAAAGTTTCATATCTCCGTGAGAAGGTCATTGGCTGTTCTGTACTTGGCCTACTCAGTAGGCTTGGGATGCATCATCTAGAAAATCCTAGTTGCCACTTGCCGGCTGTGTCTCTCAACAATAGCGCTCATCATTTTTTCCTTGTTGAGTTTACAGGGTCTGCTCCCAAGTTGGAACACACCATTTACGTAAATTATGTGAGTAATATATTATGCCTTATCTTCATTGTCTGATAGATAAGGATTCACCCGCAGCTTGATGGCAGGAGCTCTGGTGTGGAACGGCGGCTCTGTTTGACACTGTGTATTCTGTTGACAAGGACACTGAAAGTTTTATTGCACTTATCACTGAGCTTATAGGGTTTCCCCTCAACTCAGAACGCATCCTATATGAATTATGGAACAATCATGGCATGCTTTATCTTCAAACTGTGATAGAAAGATTCCTCTTAAACCTCATCTGCTAAAAAAACAGTGTCAATTGATCATCAAACTTCATGCCAAAACTCAATAACTTCTTCACAAAGGGATTGTTTTGTGAACAGCTGGTTATATGTCTGCAGCTGCTCCGCTCTCTTGTTGAACAAGTGTATCAATTTATCATCAAGCTGAATTCTATTGCTTGAAAACCAAAATCAATGATCCAAGATCTCAGCTGACTCTTGCCTTGAATCAGTTGGTAAATAGATGACTATCATTTTCTCTGTTGAATTTATGATTTGTTGATCAAGAAGATCACATATATTCTCTGTTTGGTGAAGATATTGTAAATCAAAATAGTGAAAAGTAGGTGATGAGCCAGACGCGAAGTAGGAGTCATCTATGTGAAAGCCACAGAGCTCATGCTAAGAAAACTGAGCCTATGGTGCAGGGGTACTGTTGTGCCTTTGGTTACCCGTAGTATAATTCCATGAGGATTGTGTGATGAGAGGCCTCCATGATCCAAAGCCTGACACACTCGGAGAAGATTAATTTGATGTTCACTGATGGCATAGACTTGTTGTGGTCCAAAATGGAAAAGCACCGGCGAGGGCAAGGCATGTATGCAGATGATGATTCTGATGAGAGTGACTGGGGTAAGGTGCCACGAAGGAGAGGCCCAAATGAGGAAGGCAAGGATACAAGTAATGGGATGGACAGACCTCCACAGGTTGGCAAGGGCAAGGCCCCTTTGACTGCACAAAGGTACTTGCGCCACAAATTGGTATGACTTGGTCACAATCAAGCTGATTATTTTGGTCACATTATGATTTCATTGAGGCCCTAAATTTCTTGTTCAGTTTTGCGCATCAGAATTGGGGAGGGACGGTGAGACAATGAGGACAACCAAAGCCCCAGCTAAGAAAGAGTAAGTTTCAACTCTCCTTAGATTTGCCTGATATATCACATCTTGGCTTACAAGCTGCTGTTATAGCAAATTCAAGTGCGCCGGCCAAGAAAGCTCCCGCTAAGAAAGCAGAAGCTACTAGCATGACCAAGAGGATGTAATACTAAAGCAAACGGGAATGGAACACAACTACTTTGTTGCACCGCGGGAATCATCAAGTTCAAACCCCGATTGAGCAGAATTGTGGTGTCCGAGTCCGCAATTGAGACAAGTTGCGGATCTAGTTCACATTATGTTCACAATACGTTCACAAGTTTCCCTCGGGTTTTTCTGATAACCCTTTGTCATGAGACATACAAAGGCCCCTTTCAGACCGACAAGTGTCTTTCATAGTACATTCCCTGTCCTCGCTATTTACACTTGCCATAGACATGCCTTCAAGAATGTTTGGCAAATCCAGATTTGATGACTGTGGCATCCTTAAATCCAATGGAGTCAGGATGGCAAAGGAGCGTGACCCGTCCTTGGCCCGTCAGCCCACGTGATTACAGCTCGAGAGCAACTTGTGAACGTATTGTGAACGTAATGTGAACTAGATCCGTGATTGAGACAAGTTGCGGACTCGGATACCGCAATTCTGCTCAATCGGGTTTTGAACTCAATAATTCCCATGGTGTCATTCTCACAAACACAGACACAAACACAAGGAAGAATTATGACTGCTAGGTGAGTACTTATCAATTCAAAAATTGGTGCTAGCATACACGGATTTTTGAAACAAACATATTGAAAAGATGCACAATCAATCTGATTTGACATCTCTGAAATCGATGAAAACATGAGACTCAGGATTGATTGGACTCATCAAGAGTATACATAGAGTCTTAGATTTATGAGTAACTGGAATGATGTCACATCATTGCAATCCTTGTTGAGTTCATGTTTCCAAACTTTGAGATTTCTGGTTTTGGAATCTACAGGGTCTTGCCTTCTCCAACTATAAGGAGATATTATCACAAAAAATTCTTGATGTATCTTTAGTTTGAACATCACTTCTAAACCTCACTGACGTCGTCCTAAACAAATTCAAAACCCTCGAAATCTGAGACTGAAGTTCTGTTAGTACCTATCCCTTTCTATAAATCATCATTTAAAATCTAATCCAATAGTTATTAATAACCACTTCATTGATGAACAAAATAAAAATTTCAAATAAATTTCTTCAAGAGTTTATAATATACATCAAAACGCAACATAGTCAATAATTTTTTTTGTTCATCTTTTATTAAAATTAATTAAATTCAATCAGTAAAAAAACATCAAAAGTAAAAAAAAGCAAAAAGCAAACCTAAAAGAAGAACAATCAAACATAATCAAAAACAAAACAAAAGGAAATAAAAGGAAAGCAATGCATTTTTTACGAAGTACATTCAGGAAGTATAAATTCGAAGAAAAAAAAGTTACAAACTACAATCACGATCACCACCATCATCACCGCCACCGCCATTTTTCTGTTTAAAACCTTACTACAATCTTAAAAATCATCTTTTATTCTTCAATCAGAAGTTCTTTCATACCCATGCGTACTTTTACCAAGATTAGGTAAAAAGAATCCCAAAATCCCACCTTGAGCCTCATTCTCTTCTTCACCTATTGGTAAACTAGTTAAATCAGGTGGTTCTAATGCTCTTTGAATTGAAGATCTTTCTGAATTTACTAATGATTGATTTTCAGTATCTTCTAATCCGACATCTCCAAATAATTCATCCATTTCTTCTAAGGGTACTCCACACGTTTCAGGATAAGCAAAATAAACTTTTTGTTAAAAGAAATCCACATCACCCCCACCAAAAAATAACAATTAGTAATTAAGTTTCCAATAAGAAAGAAAAAGAATGAGATTTTCACATACCTAGAAGAAAACTACAAACACAAAAGAATGCATGCATAGGATAGAGTCTCCAACGAATTACATCTTGTAAAACAGGTGTAACTTCACCAACTAAATAATTAAAAAACCAATTAGTTGCAGTACTGATCGAAACACCTTTAACTCTAAAAGGTAATGGAATAATTTCAGGTGGATATAACCAAGGAATTGGACCCCATGAATATCCAAAAAATCTAATGTTCAAAGTCATTAATATCAGATTTTTCTATCTCATTTTGAAAGATAGGTTCTTAAGGTCACTTACGCATTGTAAATCATTACACAGATCACTACACAAGATGGCGTGTAAGATGTATCGATATAAAGGAACCAGCCGATCAGTGTTAATGAGAAAGCCATCACAAGGGCTCCTGATAATAAGATGAACCGTCGTCCCCATCGGTCGACCAAGTACCATCTATGTGATTCAGTCCTCAATCTCATCAGTCATGTTAATTTGTTGCAATTAAGCAAGAGATGTCGAAAGGACAAACGTAGGTAGTGTACTAAGAATGTAGACTATTCCATTGATACCGGTCATCAAGATTGCATCTCTTCCAATCCATCCAGCTGACTCAAAGACGAGTGGAGCGTCTTTTAGATATATCGAAAATGGAGGGAGTTCATAAGCGTTGACAACAGTCAATGTCAGTTTGTACAGAACTCACAATATGAGATTACGTTAATTCCGTTCTAAAAGATGATCAAGATCCATCGAAATCAGTTCAAATCAATCAAATGAATAGAAGGATTGTAAAGATATGTAACATACCAATTGAGCAAAGGCTTGCGCAGACATAGCCAATAAAACTCTACCCCGATATTTTTTCCACATAGCAAGATAAGACCGATCAGGGCTCAAACGATCATCCAAAACCGCTTCTTTAATTTCAATATATTCTTGTCTTGCTTTTTCACTCTTAGGATTCCCACCATGTAAATCAACTAAAACTCTCATCCCTGCTATATCTTGATCTGTATCTAATAACCATCTTGGACTTTCTGGTATGATTAATGATCCGATGGCTAGAATGAGTCCGATTGCACATTGAAATAGTAATGGAAATCGCCATGACCAATCTGATTCTATGTATGATGCAAAATAATCTAACCATACTGATGATGCGTATCCACAGATGTTACCGGTGAACTCGATACATGCTAATTGACCTCGCTGTTTTGATAGTGGATGATTAAAAAGAAAAAGTAAGTCGATTTTCTGAGCTAAGCAGGATACCAAAAAAATGCCAAGTGAAAGAGACAAACGTGTTCTGCAGGTGAAATTTCAGATTGATAGATAGGTACGATTGTTCTAAACAAAAAGAAACGATTAAGATCTATTCTCCAAAGCATACTAACTGAATAGGTTCTGTATGTTGGTAATCAGAACTTACGAAAGGAATCCAACACCAAACCCGGAAATGATTCTACCAAAGACCATACTGGAAAACCCAGCCGAAAAAGCTTGAATAGCACCACCAATAGTAAAAATCACAGCTCCGATAAAAAGAGTTCTTCTTCTACCGAATATATCACCAGCTTTTCCTGAAATGATTGAAGTAACTGTACTCAAAGGTAAAAAAAGAAAAGTAAAGTGAGTTTTAGTTTGAGAAGGTCAAAAGCACAGATGTGATGAAAGGTAGAATACTAAACTGAAAGCTCCAATTTCGAGAATCGCTACCATTGTTCCGATTTCATATCGAGTTGGCTGATGAAAGAAAGCCTTAAAATAAGGTCCAGTGATGATACCGGACATGACACCTATAAAACAAAAAAAGGATTACAAGATTAGTAAACTATTAATGAATTGGAAGATGAAAGACTTTACCCTGATCATATCCGAACTGATAATATAAAAAAAGAATACGAGGTATGATAAACGTTCAAGTTTAATGATTCAACGTTAAAGTATTGTACTAACCAGAAAGACACCCAAACTGGCAAAAGTTGATATACTATAAAGTAAAGCAGGTCCTACTAATTTCAGTTTGATCATCTTGAATGAGAATTGGTTGGTTATTGAATTGCAGATTGATAGGTTATCATGAGAGATAGTTTGATTAGTTTGATGGTTTGGATAGGATTGAGAAGTAAGTAAGTTGGTTGGTTTGTTGAGCTTGGTCACTGGTCACTGATATCGATGTAAATCTGGTGGTAGTAGTTGTAGCACTTTACTCGGGTAATTCAAGTTTGAAATTTAACCTGTCACTTGTTGTCAGTCGAATCGTCGATACAGGGTGTTTTCATATTAAACTTCAATATGTACTTACCTCGCTCATACTTAACTACGTACTACACGCACACAGCCCATTTGAAAAAAGTGTTTTGACAAGTTTTGGATTCTCTGTATTCTCAAATTCCGCAGAGAAACAAAACTCAATCAAAACAAAACCGGATTTTGCACCATGATGTGCTTTTCAAAAAAAGGAAAATATGTTTGTACAGCACTATTAGCGCGGTGCCCACAGACACACTTGACCGCCCGGATTTAATCTGTATTGATCTCCATCCGACAAGGTTCAATGTCTATTGAAAGTGGCTTGACATCCCGGAATCCGGGTGGTGATCACTTGAAATTTCATTGATTTTACGTTGTGACCGCCCACTCTTATATTTTTGTTTATTTGACAACATCCATAATTTGCCAAAGTCCTGAGGTGACGGCATGTTGAGCGCAATCAATGGACTGGTCTCTTGTATGAGTCCACCACATAACCATCTTTCCATCATTAGCTCATAAACTATGCACCACTGCATATGGGATCATAAGCCATTCATCATTGAGGCTGGGTGGGTGCATCTCCTTTATCTCTTGTCATCAAGATTTGAGTAATTTTCTGATCCTTGCTCTTTCAAAGCTGACCCTTTTCCTGGGTCTTGTTTTGTTCTTGCTCATGACTCACAATCCTACTATTTGTCTGTAATTTCTAGTGGTGGCTCATGATTGACATGCACAAGTAGCTTGCCTGATCTTGACTAAAAGATCAAGACTTACCTGACTAACACATTGCTTCCCTGGTGGGAAAATCTGTGAAGCCTCTCATGTACTTATACATGATCTCAAATTTACAAAGAGAGCAGCAGGTGGTCATGTCCTGAAATCAATAAAATTTGAAGTGACCACCCTGAATTTCAAGCCATGTGTGATGAAAATTGGATCTTGTCAGATAGAGATAAAGGAAGATCCATTCTGGGGGCAGATTTGCATTGCAAGCACTGGGCTAGATTTAGTACTTTCTGAAAAAAACATTCATTCTCAAATTGGCTATACAACTAATTTAGATTTTGTGACAGTTCTTTACATACCTGGTCAATAGTTTTGCATAGGTCACTTATTATTCACTGATTGGTATGTCACAAATAATTAGACACTTGTAATAATTAGGTTGGGTTTATGTTTCTTTCATGTTAATTGATGTCATAACTGTTGACAACTGTTTTACCATTTTTTTCCTTACTGTTCATTATTCATCATCACTTTTGTAAAACCATTCCTCTGAATTATCATTGTCATTGGTTATATATTTATAAAGCCCACCCTTTCTTTTGGTTAGAAAATCCTTCTCTGGTCATCTGTTGAGGTTCTTTTTTATAGTCACCCAAAAGTCTTTTAGAGACATCAAAAATCTTATCATTATCTTTGTTAGTGGCTAATCTCTTTGTTTTGAGAAGTTATTTCTTAGTGTCATGTTAATTTTAGTTTGCCAGATCTTTGAAGTTGCTTTACAAGATGTATTTCATTCTATATTATTTTGCTACTTAGGAGTCACATTTTGGACAAACTGCTGGCCACCCCATAGGGGGTTGTTGTTTTAGACTTGATGTTAGTTTATCCTGTTGGGAAACTTGGCCCAGTACTTTTGGGTATATTTCTTGCAATTTTTGTAAGGACCATGGTTGACATTTCACTGTTTTACCTGGTCATCACTTCAACAATCCAACAGCACTCAAGCTTACAATCAATTTTCATCGTCACTTCAATAAATCATCATAAGTAGACAAATATTTAACACTTTAACCTTCACAAATCTTGTTCTAGCGCATCACCCCAGCAAACTTGATGAAGTTGCCAATATGAAAACAGAAAAGGTGGGATTCAGGTTTTACATCAATTATATCTTACTCATCTTTATCTATTTTGGATGATCTGCTGAGAAATATCTACAAAAAACAGAACAGAATTCATCAAGATCCATCATCTTGAGCAGATCATGTATAACTAAACGGCTTGAAATACCTCCAAGTAAAATACTTCCAAGTATGAATCTTAATCAATTAGTTTTGTAAAAGTTCAGATATCAACTTTGTTTGAGGTTGTCTTTACTTTCAATTTGAAAAATGTAAGAGATTCTGAATCTGAAAAAAGTAAATGTAACAACCATGCACATAAAGAGGCCAACCAATTGAACTTCAGAAACTATTCTGAAAAGCATAAGAAATAGGGGTAATCCTTTTTTCAAAAATGACTTGATAAAATGTAATTTTCATTAAAAAGAACACAAATGAAGTTCTTGCATCAGTTTCTAAGCCTTGTTATAAGGATAAGTGTAGGTTGTCAATGGTCATCACAAAGAATTTCAGCAATGACCTGTTCAGAAATCATTCAAAGCAAAAACCATGCTTGAATACTCAAATCAAATTGAAACAGATTGGTTCCTCAACCCCAGGCCTGGATGTGTTCAACTTGTTTGGGGTATACAATCACTAAACACAATCCTCATGGAATTATAATACGGGGGCCCAAAGGCACAACGGTACCCCTGTACCATAGGCTCAGTTTTCTTAGTGTGAGCTCTTTGAATTTCACATGAATGGCTCCTACTTTACGGCTTGCTCATCACCTACTTTTCACTATTTTAATTTACAATATCTTCAAACAAAAAAAGGTGTGTGATATTCTTGATCAACAAATCATAAATTCAACAGAGAAAACAATAGTCTTTTATTTACCAACTGATTCAAGGCAACAGTTAGCTGAAGCCTGAGATCTTGGATCATCAATTTTGGGTTTCAAGCGGTGGGTTTCAGCTTTGGATCTCAGCTTGATGATAAATTGATACACTCATTCAACAAGAGAGCAAAGCAGACGCAGACATATAACCAGCCGTTCACAAAACAATCCCTTTGTGAAGAAGTTATTGAGTTTTGGAATTCAGTTTGATGATACATTGACACCCTTGTTTAGCATACACAGTGTCATTTTACTACTCACTGGCAGGCCAGTGAGTACGTCCAGCTCAATCCAATCTCAATCCAATCTCAAATCCATGTCAGTTCAATATCAATCAAATCTCAATGTTTGGCCTAGAGTCAAGGCCGCCACAGATATGGTACTGGTATTGTATTGGCAATACCAGCACCGTATCCGGCTGAAAGATACTACAAAAAGTAGTATTTGATATTGTATCCGGTTCCCGGTACAATACCAAGCACTGTACCAACACTGCCAATACCTACAATGACGCCTGGAAGGTATCATATCCTGTGTTTTCTAAGGATACGGTACAATACCGTCATTGTCAGATAGACTGACGATATACTAAATACACCATACTGTAGGCAAAGACAATTCCCAGTACCAGAAGATCTGGTTATCCGGTATTGTATCACAGGGCGGCTACGATTCTAATTACCGTACCCTGACCTGCAGTACCACCAAAAATCATCTTGGGTATTGTAGCCGTGGCCCAGGTACGATACTCAGGGTACAATACCCATGTGACTGGATACAGTGCCACACGATATTGATACTGGTATTGTATCTGTGGCGACCTTGCTAGAGTAGCAGACAAACAACCTTCCAGAATGAACCCAAATAAAGTATGGTTGCATGTCCACACATGAAGGTGTCAGAATGTCTGGAAGGTTTGAGAGATTATGCAGCGCATGCATATCCCCCACTCGAACATAATTGGAGGTCAAACTGATATTGAACTGACATTGAATTGAGATTGGATTGAGGTGAATGGAACTCACTGGCATGCCAGTGACTAGTAAAATACACTGTGATATGGGGTTTAAGAGGAATCTCTATCTATCACAGCTTGAAGATAAGGCATCCCATGATTGTTCCCTAATTCAGATAGGATGTGTTCTGAGTTGAGGGGAAACCCTATAAACTCAGTGATAAGTGCAATGAAACTTTCAGTGCTGTTCTCGGCAGAATACACAGTGTCAAACAGAGCCGCCGTTCCACACCGGAGCTCCTGCCAACAAGCTGCGGGTGAATCCTTATCTATCAGACAACAGAGATAAGGCATAATATATTACTCACACAATTTATGTAAATGGTGTGTTCCAATTTGGGAGCAGACCCTGTAACAGTAAACGCAACAATGAACAATGATGAGCGCTATTGTTGAGTGCCACAGCCGGCAAGTGGCACCCATGATTTTCTAGATAAGGTCCATCCCAAGCCTACTGAGTAGGCCTAGTACAGAACAGCCAATGACCTGCTCACGGAGATATGAAACTTTGTGAATTGATTATCAAAGTGAAGTTTGGTTTGAAGATAAAGTCAGCTACGTGTTCACCGGGTGATGTTTCAGTGCAATCCTCATCTATAAGAATCTGAAGTGAAAACAAATCTTAATCTTTTCATGATTCAAATGGTTTTTTTTGACTTGGTTAATTTTTGGGTAGCACCCTGCTAATTTAGAGGGACTATTGGTCATACAAGAATGCATATTCTGTATGATTTTCCAGGAAGTGCATCAAGAAAAAATAAAAACCTTAAAAGAGAAGGCTGCAAAGCAAGGTCTCAAGAGGTGCAATTCTTGATCTCAGACTACAGTATAAAAGGCTCTTAAGAGGACTCTTTCTATTGCAGTTTGAAGATAAAGCATGCCATGATTGTTCCATAATTCAAATAGGATGTGTTCTGAGTTGAGGGGAAACCCTATAAACTCAGTGATAAGGGCAAAAAAAGTTTCAGTGTCCTTGTCAACAGAATACACAGTGTCAAACAAAGCCGCCAGTCCACACTGGAGCTCCTGCCAACAAGCTGCGGGTGAATCCTTATCTATCAGACAACAAAGATAAGGCATAATATATTACTCACACAATTTACGTAAATGGTGTGTTCCAATTTGGGAGCAGACCCTGTAACAGTAAACTCGACAATAAAAAATGATGAGCACTATTGTTGAGTGCCACAGCTGGCAAGTGGCACTCAGCATTTTCTAGACAAGGTCCATCCCAAGCCTACTGAGTAGGCCAAGTGCAGAATAGTCAATGACTTGCTCACGGATATATGAAACTTTGTGAATTGATTATCATGGTGAAGTTTTGTTTGAAGATAAAGTCAGCTACGTGTTCACCGGGTGATGTTTCAGTGCAATCCTCATCTATAAGAATCTGAAGTGAAAACAAATCTTAATCTGTTCATAATTCAAATGGAATTTCTTTTGACTTGGTTAATTTTTGGGTAGCACCCTGTTAATTTAGAGGGACTATTGGTCATACAAGAATGCATATTCTGTATGATTTTCCAGGCAGTGCATCAAGAAAAAATAAAAACCTTAAAAGAGAAGCCTGCAAAGCAAGGTCTCAAGAGGTGCAATTCTTGATCTCAGACCACAATATAAAAGGCTCCACTCCTTCCACAAAAGTAGGATCAAGATCACTTGTGTTGAACGTGGATTTCACTTGATAACTTCCATACTATCACAATAAAACTTGGCTTGTGCTCTACTCAATATGATGAAGAACTTGTTATGGACTTTGATCCAGCTATCAATGGCTTTTGCATTGATGAATGCACACTTGGCTGCAGGTAAGTCTTGAGATGAAATTGAATATACCATGTGGTCTAGCAACTTACATCTTTTGGACCCTTGCAGACTGGCACACAGCAGCCCGTGTTGTCTGTGACAAATTCGCAGACGTTGTCATTAGTAATGTGTCGCGTGATCCCGATTATATCACCAATAACGTTTCTCCGCATGCAACTATCGCATGCAATGGCAGATCAATGTCTCGGACAGGCAAGCTTTTCTAGAATTTCAAACAAAATGTTTTGTTTTGTTTTGCAAAACCTGATTTAGCATAGATGATATTGCATTTATGGAACATCAATACTCATTGAATAGATTTTATGGTGGCGGCATGCAGCGGCACATACAAAACCAGAGCTCCCATGCCATCGCGTAAGCCCAGCATAGATACTTACAATATCACCAAAATGAGTAGTGGTCTAAAATCATTTTCTCAACATAGAGGAATTGCACACCAGAGGACATCTGCATTATATCAATTGGAAAGCCGCTGGATATAATGTTGCTGTTTCATTCAATAAGGAGACCAGACTAATCGACGCAGTGACTTTGGTCATAACGTTAGTGTTTTTTGTGCATAAACCTGTTTGTGACGTTTTGCACATAGATGTCTGACCGTGTGTAATCAAATGACTCAAATTATTACATAGGAGGGATTATTGACTTGACCAATTATATATACATATTGTCAATGGTCATCACAAGGAATTTCAGCAATGCACTGTTCAGAAATCATTCAAAGCAAAAACCATGCTTGAATACTCAAATCAAGTTGAAATATGTAGATTGGTTCCAAAACCCCTGGGTGTGTTCAACTTGTTTGGGTTATACATACACTCACCTCTGAGGCAAATGTTTGTCAACTCGATAGAAGTATATCCTTAAGCTCAACCAAGCTTACCCAAGTGCTTCATCATTGGAAATTCTTCTGGATTATAAGTCATGGATAACGTCTCTTGTTTCAAATAAATCAGGATTGAAATAGAATTATGGTTACTTGAATAGCCAGAGAGGGTGAACGTGTATTTTGTATCATGTTACACAAGAGAACGCGAAAGATCCACAATGTGACTGCAGAATGGGAGTTGATGAGTTTTTAGCATGAAATCGGATGAGATATGTTGCCCATCATATGTCAAACCATGTCAAGTTGCCCATCCCGTTGAGAACTGTACAATTGTATGCTCGAAAAACAGTTGTGATTGATGTGGAGGTTTCTACAGTTTCTATGGCCCAAAGTGTTATGATAGATTTTTCAAATCTTGTCATAGATGGTTTGGTGAATAACATAGTCCAGTACATGAGTTTAAAAGATACTCAATGCAGACCTATAAATCTGTCCAACTGAACATACTAAAGCACAAATCAAGGAAATGATACAAAAAAATCTTCAAAGTCGGGGGTATTCTTATTATCTACGAGTCCTATAAGTGGACGCAGATGGTTTTTTATATCGACTATCGTCCTCACTCTCTTCAATATCATCATCGTCTTCATCCAATACTATTGTCGTCTTCTTAGCATTCCTACAAACAAATATACATACATAAAATCAGTCTATGCTAGCACTAATTTTTGAACTGATAAGTACTCACCTAGCAGTCGTACTTCTTCCTTGTGTTTGTGTCTGTGTTTGCGAGAATGGTAAAGTAGTCTGTGTCCCACTCCCGCTTGCTTTAGTATTACCCTTTGTCTTGCTAGTAGCTGCTGCTTTCTTAGCGGGCGCTTTCTTAGCGGGAGCTTTCTTGGCCGGTGCACTTGAATTTGGTATACCAAGCTTGTGTTAGCCAAAAAGATGTGATATCAGGCGAATTCAAGGGGAGCTGAAACTTACGCTTTCTTAGCTGGGGCTTTGGCCGTCCTCATCGTCTCACTGTCGCTCTCCGATTCTGATGCGCGAAACTGAACAAGGAAGAGCGTCAATGGAATGTGACCAAAACAATCAGCTTGATTTAAACAAGTCATACCAATTCGCGGCGCGAGGACTTTTTCAAAGGGGCTTTGCCCTTACCACCCTTTGGAGGTTCGTCCATGCCATCACTTGTATCCTTGTCTTCTTCATTCGCACCTCTCCTTTGCGGCACCTCACCCCAGTCACTCTCATCAGAACCATCATCTGCACGCCTTGCCCTCGCCGGTGCTTTTCCCTTTTGGACCACAACAAGTCAATACCATCAGTCAGATTAACCCAAGTAGATCAAAGCTCTCTGAAGAGGGTCGGATGACATTCCTCACCTTCTTCTCCGACTTGGCTTGATCTTCTTTGTCCCATTCTTCCGCAAATTTATCCTTTGCTTTATAAAGATCTTCTACTAGCTCCTCCTCTTCACTTTCAGGAGCTCTCTCGCGGTGGTCGTTGGTGGCTGAATGTTTCTCTTCTTTAACGTGCGCTTGCGCAGCTTGCAAGGCTCTATCGTAGAACCTGATACACGGAACAACAGGATGGTAAGTGCTTGTTTGGATAACTTCAGGCAAAATTCTAGCTTCAATCGGCCCCAGATCTAAAGTCGGCCACGGATTCCATGCCAGTAGACTCAAAACGTAGCACAAATGCACTCACGCTTTGATAGCATCTTTATCGTCCTTTTCAACAAACGTTGACACAGCTTTCTGCATTCCATTTTCAGCTAGTACACCCAAGTTTTGAGCTTCAAGGTATTGTCGTACAAAGGTCGAGACCTGAATATATTCAGATTTTGTTTGGGTGGGAACTATCTCATTTTCTGGATAGTCAATCTCATTTTTTGGTTTTGGTTATACATACACTCACCTCTGAGGCAAATGTTTGTCAACTCGATAGAAGTATATCCTTAAGCTCAACCAAGCTTACCCAAGTGCTTCATCATTGGAAATTCTTCTGGATTATAAGTCATGGATAACGTCTCTTGTTTCTAATAAATCAGGATTGAAATAGAATTATGGTTACTTGAATAGCCAGAGAGGGTGAACGTGTATTTTGTATCATGTTACACAAGAGAACGCGAAAGATCCACAATGTGACTGCAGAATGGGATTTGATGAGTTTTTAGCATGAAATCGGATGAGATATGTTGCCCATCATATGTCAAACCATGTCAAGTTGCCCATCCCGTTGAGAACTGTACAATTGTATGCTCGAAAAACAGTTGTGATTGATGTGGAGGTTTCTACAGTTTCTATGGCCCAAAGTGTTATGATAGATTTTTCAAATCTTGTCATAGATGGTTTGGTGAATAACATAGTCCAGTACATTCCATCTCTGCACGGGTGTCTTGTTTAGGGCTGTGACCCGGCCCTGAGAGTTCGTGGCCGGCCCCGGGGCCAAGCCCGACCCTGGGTAGACCCGAGGTCCCCTGGAAACTTCTCAGGGCCGACCAGGGCCTGCCCGAATCTCAGGCCTTGGGTGTCCAGGCAGGGCCGGGCCCAGATTTACGAGTAAAAAACCCTTGGAAAGGGGAAATTTTTATATTATTTTTGGCGAAAACAGGATCGGGCAGTCGGCCGGGCCGGGCGCCCGGGGCGCCCGCAGGGCTTTGCACCCTATTCTGATTAGGTTTCAGAGCCCCGAGGCCGGGACCGCCAGCGTTGAAAATATCGCCGGGCACCTTCGGCCGGGCAGGGCCGGGACCGGGTCACAGCCCTAGTCTTGTTCAGTTCTCATTTACACATGCACGTATTTTGTTTGTCTTTTCTTTATCACATCTCATTTCTGTATGTATACTTGTTTCGCGCGTTATGTCTACTAGCATCTCAGCGGCGGGCGCCGCGGCTAGAGATAGTATTTCCTTTTTGATTTAACTCTTGAAGACTAAACCATGTATTTATGATAGCCCTTGGCCAAAATTGTTTGCATAACCAACTCACCTTCAGGCCAAGATATACATTGCACAATAGCTCTCCTGAAATTCAATAAGCCATGTGGCTATTGTGCAGTTGTGTGTATGGTTGGCCCAATAATCAGTTGTTTATGTAATGGTCTCAATTCCTGGTCCTGAATGTAACAAGATCCCCTGGGACTTGGGAGTTTCTCTCTGTCAATTGGGCAACAGCACATTTACTATGTGAGGACAAAGGAACCTTTATATTGCCCTTGTACGTTGTTGGTTTGGCTTTTTCCTTTTCTCTGATATTGAAGATCCATGCAACAAAAGAGCCAATAGGGGTACACAAACATGAAAACCCAACCTAAAAACCCATGGACAAAACGCATGACAACCTGATTGTTTTTTGGGGTTTTGTCCATTGGTTTTCCGCTTTCCCGTTGGACAAAACCCAAAAAACAATTGGGCTGTCATGGGTTTTGTCCATGGGTTTTTAGGTTGGGTTTTCATGTTTGTGTACCCCTAATATGTATCATCACCAATCCTGGATTCCAACTATTTGTCATCATCAAAGTTGCTGAATTTCACCGCATCCTCTGCAAGCCTTCATTTGGCATTATGATGACTTTATCAAGGATCATGTTCCTCGTAATGTTATTGAAGTATGTAAATATTCAATACCTTGGTCATAGCAACTAATAAAGGAAGATATGACTATGACAGGTCATTACCTGTTTGCTGATATCTGGTTTCACCACGTGGTGATTCACATGCATATGAGATTGAGCATGCAAGGACACTGGGTATTGCCCATTGACAATCCCCTCTATCACCTATTCTTCTAGAGAACTTAAAAAAACCAAGCTTGAAGTTCCAATAAGACCAACTAAGATAATCTTCTTGAATAAATGAATAAAATTCTAAACTACTTCTCACTTTGTCCCACTTTATCCCTATTTATCAAAGGAAGAAGAGAAATATATGTATATATATAGAATATTCAACCATTTTCAAGTTTCTTCTTTTTTTTCAAGTATGTCTCTATTTTTGAGAAAAAATCAAGTGCCACCAATCATTACCCCTATGCCTTTCTATCATTCAAAAATCTGATCAAAAATGCATAGATTTAGCCAAAGAGAAAGATATCACATGTGCGCTTAAGTAAAATGCAGAGAGGTAGATGATGATTTGAATTGATTTAGCTTGATCAACTTCATATTCAGAATCACTTGGTGATCCATAAGACTCCTTCATTCTAACCAAAGCTTGACCTTTAGCATTCTTATAAAACAATAAATCTCCCTCATCTTCCACAAACTAACTGAACCAAACATCAGCTCTTAGGTATCAGATAGAACTCTTTTACCAAAAGATAATGTTTAAACTTACACAACAGTGGCTAAAGCCTTTCCAAAAACTAACCCAATAGTTTTCATCAATCAATTGACAATGTGGTCCTAATTTAGCTTTCAAAGGATATGGGGCTTCCCAAGCATGATAATGTGGGATCTTGGGGAATAGATGATGAGCCACATGGGTTTTAGCTAGACCATCACTCAATCCCAACAAAGTAATTCCCAGAAGTCTGGCTTTGGCTACCATTGTGAGTCAGGTGATTGTAAGGGTGAAATTAGATGCACAATACAGAGGCTAAAAGTACAATCAGCAAATGAGAACATACAAAAAGTCCCTACGGCACTTCCTCAAACACTATATTTCCAAGATCAGTCATTAGCCAAGTGTCAAGCTTCAAACAAATGAATTCTAAGTGGCACCTTTCCAGAAATTATTTAACACATCTTGAGGCAACCATACACCACAAAGGACTGTCCTGTGACTCAGCAGTAAAGAGCAAGTCAACAATGTACTGATGGGGCATGCCCTTCCCAGTTGCACAGTCCTTTCCACCAAGGGCATGAACCTTTTTGTGAGTAGTATACGTAATCCGTGCTAATTCTTCTGAGGACTTAACCATACAGTCAAACCCACGCAATCACACAATTTGGGTGGAAGACTTTTCCAATGAATTTTTGTGGGTTATGTGATTCCGTTGTCAAAGTTGGCAGTAAAAAGCATCAATATTGAGGAATTTTTCTATGTATTCTCGCAGGTTATGCAGCTGCGTTTGACTGTGTCAGGCTATTGGAGAGACCATTTATAAAACTGGTGATATGAAAGTTAATGAACATGAGGCTGAGAAGTTAAACTAATCAAAAGGTTAGGGATTTGGATTTGAGTTTGGGATAGGGGTTCACTGGCTATGGATTGCATCAACTTGCATGTATCACCCCTAGGTCTCAGCAGGAGAAGCCAAGCAAGCAGGTCTTGGTTGAGAGAAGAGGCCATAATGATAAGTGGTTCTGTAGTCTTTGTATGTGACATCAAGGACAATTCTGATACCTAATTTCCTTCCACTTGAATCTCAATTTTGCAAGCATATATCAGCTACATATCAGAATTAGTCTTTGCAAAGATGGAATATGACTTGCGTGGTCAAAATACGCAAGTCTTATTGTAGGTAATTTGATGACTCTAAAAACGCAACTTACTGTGGGGCTGGTTCACATTGATTGCAGCAAGATTGATATCTTTTCCCGAAGTGTCTGTGGATCCCTTGATTTCATAACACGTGTTGGCCTTGGCAAACTTGTAACATGTATGGAAAGGCTTTGCTTATTCAAGCTCAAAAAATGAGCTTCAATTTTTTCTGACTCTATACTCACAATCAATCAATTACTTTAAGCAACACAACACAATGCAGATAAAACTTCAAGAAATGATATAAATGGTATATAAAGAGAAAAAGCTTTGCATAAAAGAAGCAATTAACTGACAACAGGTATAAAAATGCCAAATCCAATTTCAATCATGTTACTGATACAAGTTGATATCTATATAGGTATATAAATATTATATATCTACATAGTTCAAAAATACCCAGAATTAATTCCAACCCCCACCGCACAACACACAGACGCACACCAAAGAAAAGAAAAGCCAATTTGAAAACAAAGATGATCTAAGAGAAAAGATTATTGTTAAAGACCAAGATGTAACTTTTTTGAAAACTCATTAAATCATATTTTCTCACTTCAATTACACTTTCTTCAAACCCATCATGCCTAGCTTTAGCATCAGAAATTTGAGAATGTTAAACCAAATTTGCCATTTTAATTTTTCAAAAACATCATCAACAGAAGAAAACCCCCAGTTTTTTCTTGTTTTCATAACAAATTTGTTAAGAGATAAAAGAAGTCAAAAAGACTCACTTTTTTCTAATATTGCCATATTGAGCTGCACCATTAACACCAACTACTAAATAACAATATCAACTTTCATCTAAATTTGCAATCACAAATGGATAACTTTCAGGTTTTTTCTTACTTGAGTTTGATTTGAGACTTTTTCAATTTGATCCCCTAATCAAATCTCTTTTACACCTGCTTTTTCAAACACAGAATCATCTTGAAGTACATGAGATGTACCGGATCCACCAGCTTTGTGTAATCAATGATCCCAATGAAATGGATTGCTCAGATCAAGAGCTTTGAGGGCTTAAACGATTTCTTTTTGTAGAACTTTGATGTATGCTGGAATTTGGGTGCGTATTGGTAAAGAGCCGTCCCTCATGATTTTTTTTGATTGTTCAGTTGTGCGGCGAGGGCAATCAATCCAAGAAGTCAAACATATCATATTGTGTTAGCAATGATTCTAATCGGTTGTAACTTATTGAACATTTATGTGTCTCTCTTCACCTAAAGACGTCAATGGATTTTGGATAACATGTGAAACGATTCAAAAAGAGATGCGAAGTTCAAGTAAGCGAGTCGATTTGTATGCTAATTACAGATTGGTTGATGTGACCTTTGGAGGTAATGAGATCCAATCCAAAGACTGTCAGCAAAGCTAGCATGATGGGATTCGTAAATCGAAGGACAGTCACGTGTGTCATCGTTATTGTTGAGCAGCAATTTGATGTTGAGGTTGTGAGCCACAGCGAGTCCGGCTGCTTCGGCTTTGATACCCTCTTGTTGTGAACGATATGAATCAAGCCAGAATGCGGATCTGTTCTTGTGTTGGTTGGCGAGTGTAATCCCATTGACAAAAGGCCCCGAGTCCAAATCAAATGAAAAAAATGAGTACACTGTTGCTCTGAAGAGTGGCGAGTATGAAATCACTCACACATGTGGCCCCATCAACCACTGAACTTTACACCAGGGATGAGACCAAGTTCTAGATGAACGGGAAGTTTTGACCGAGCCTCACGGTAGTAAATTGAGTTCTTAGGCCGGAGATGTCCATGAGGGCAGAGAGGTGGTATTGGAAACTTGGCAACCTGCTTCATCCAGAACGGTGTGATCGGATTTTGGATTTTCAGGAGTGGGGTCACTTGCAAACAAGGCAAGCAAAAGAACCACTTCTGGTACACTTTCAAAAGGGCCTGTGATCTGAAAAGTACAAAGGTGAAAGAATCTTTCTAATAAGAAAATAGAGTGATCGGAATATGGTATCTGGAGCCAATCAATCAAAACGCGCCGAAGGTCGGATCGGATCATATGAAGGTGAATCGCAAGAACCGTGGAGAACTGTGGTCTTATGAATGGATGGTGCTGGGATTGAGTGGGGTGATAGTGAAGATGTAGAGGTCGAGTGCAGAGGTTGAGAGGTTGAGATTCATGCCCAATCAAGATTCAAGATGGTGAGTCAAGGAGATTTGGCATATTGGATGGGTGATTCAATGGATATGCTAAGCGCTTATGGGGACATATCAAGGCTTAAGGGGTTTTATCCGGTTTTGCCGAGAAAATTGGTTGTGCCTTTAGTTTTATGATTTTACATTTACATGTTTCTTCTGCCTCCTTTCTTAGTCAATCAATCTCTGTGTTAGGTCTTCACCTTATTCAGGTTCTGACCTGGTGTGTGGGGGGTAGGGGTGCGACCCGGCCCCGAACTTTCAGGGCCGGCCCCGGGGCGCCGCCCGGCCTCGACGAAGCCCGAAGGCCTTCCAAAATGGATCAGGGCCAGGCAGGGCACGCCCTGAGTCTGACGCCCCGGGGCCAGGCAGGGCCAGGGGCTGTTTTTAGCCACAAAAATGTCACTCAGAGAGACATTTTTTCATTTGATAAAACTGTAAGAGTGACTTACCATGGGATTTTTTGAAGGAAAATGACCAGCGGCCCCGGTGCCCGACGCGCCCGACCCGCCCGAAGCACCCTCAGGGCGCGCTTGTGATCATCAGCATGCTAGGCTTGGCGGCCCCGGGGCGCGTACTGTGAGCGCTTTGAGATCGCTCGGGCAGAGTCGGCCGGGCGGGGCCGGGTCCGGGTCGCAGCCCTAGTGGGGGGGGGGCCGTAGGCCCGGGGACTGCCTGTCCAAGAAAGGTTTTCGTGGGCGGGGGCGGGCGGGTGGCCCATGATGCCTTTCTGTTAGTTCGTGTCTTTGTTATCCGTGTTTCTATGCTGTTCTGGTGTCTCTGTGTCTGCTCAGCTGGGTGGATGGGACGATTTTTGAAAAATGAAATGATGATTTCTTTTGAAGAGTTTTAGCGTGATTCGAATCTGAAGGTGTATGAGTGGTCTTGAGCGTACAGAACTGAGAAGATGAAAATTTTCTCAGTTCGTGTCTCTCTTCTCTTTTGGTACCAGGTATTGTCCCGGTCCTCTATCTCTCATCTCATACACCGCGTCACCTGTCACGATGGACTTTACAGGTGACGTCGTGCCTTTGGCCACCTGTGCTAATCCATCTCTGCACGGGTGTCTTGTTCAGTTCTCATTTACACATGCACGTATTTTGTTTGTCTTTTCTTTATCACATCTCATTTCTGTATGTATACTTGTTTTGCGCGTTATGTCTATTTTACATTTACATGTTTCTTCTGCCTCCTTTCTTAGTCAAGCAATCTCTGTGTTAGGTCTTCACCTTATTCAGGTTCTGACCTGGTGTGTGGGGGGGGCCGTAGGCCCGGGGACTGCCTGTCCGAGAAAGGTTTTCTACCACCTACACTCTGGACGGGTGGCGTCCTGAGCTCGTCGAAAACCTCTCTACGACAACAGGCCAGGCTGTATTCGCTCTGTACAAGATCTGCAATTCAAATGTGATAAACTTTAATCCACTCGACCACTTCTAACCTCATATACATTCCTGTTCCCCTTCTTGATCTTCTTCTCCTATCCCCTTAACCCACATTCCTTTGCCTCTCGTTCTTCCATTTCCCTCACTCCTCTTTCACTCATTCCTCCACCAGTTGTTTCTCTTTTTAGCTCCTGTTCAATCATAAAGCCACCTTCCAATTCTGCTTCTTTATCGTACTCAAATAGCTGTTTGCTCACCTAATTCTTTTGCCAATCCTCGTACTCGAAGAGTTTCCACAACTCCTTGGTCTCTTTCTTTTCCTCTTGACTATACTTCCTTATGTACAGTTGGTATGCTTTTGACTGCCAACGACCAATTGTGGTTATCTCTTCGATTGGCCTTTTCTCGTTCCACCTCAACGTTCCTCCTCCGACCCTAAATGAATGGCCCGATAGGTGCGTGGATTCGTCGTTATCTTTCCAGACCCTCCTGAAGATCCCCATCAATTTTGATTTTGATATCGTACTTCTCGTTCCATTCTCCTCTAGATAAGAGAAAAGTGGATCTTTTGGGCCAGTCTGATTGTCATGTAGTATTCGTTCTACGGCCGAAGTTGCATCGAGGTAAGAGTTCTGTCGTTTTAATTTAAGATATTGGATTTGTCCCGGTTGGGCTGTCTTTGCGTTAAAGATGGCTATCGTGACCTTGTCGCCTTCTGGAGACCACTGTACGTCTTTTCTCCGTGCTAATTTCTTTGATTTATCATCCGTCACTAACTCCCCTAACCTTGCCATTCCCCAGAATGCTACAAGTGCTATTGCTAGCGCTACGTGGTCTCGCTTGCTTCCTTTCGATAACACCTTCAACAACTGTACCAAATGCTTCAACATGATCGGCTTCTTTTGTTCTTTGTCCGATTCCCTTATCGCTGCTTCTGCTATTTTTGAAGATTTCAACAACACCGATAGCTTCAAAGAATCATACTTCGGATACTCTTCGTCATGGAACAGGTGCCAACTTTTAATCCCGGTGAGGTATTTTTTCAATGTTTCTACTTCGATTGTCGCTGATTCTTTGTTCCTCAATTCTGATTTCCCGTCTTCTCCTAATTTCTTTCCTGCCCATACCACGAACTCGTAAAGCGTCTTGGCCGATAAGGGCAATAGCTCCTTCCTCCTGCAATTTTTCTCCGCTCCGAATCTCAATAGTTTGGAAACTCCACTATTATAATTTATTAAAGTCGTGTTCGCCCATCCTCCTGACAGCATATGAACTTGTACGTTGTTTTCTCTCCACCTCACTTCTCCTCTTGCATCCTGTAAAAATGGCTGAATCTTCTTTTCTACCTTCGGTGATATCATGCCTCTTCTAGTAATAGTTTGAGGTCGTCTGGTAGTTCTATGTTCAACCTCGGTTTGTCTTGGTTTTCCTTGTCGAAGCCTCTCGACAGCCCGTCTGCATCGTTATTCCCGGATTCCACCCTTTCCTCGGTTATGTTGCACTGCAACCTCAACAACAGGTCTTGAATTTCCTTCCACTCGTTGTTTACCGGTTCACTTTTCGATCTTTGTTTATGGATTGTCGATTCAGTAGTGGTATTATCCGTTTTGACCCAAAAGTTCCGTCCTCTAACATCTGTCGACATTTCCAACATTAATAGGCCTAATCGCACTGCCGCTGTTTCAGCCCAAGCGATATCGCGACACGTCTCATCTACTTTTAAACCTTTCCTTTCCCATCCGTCTTTCAGCTTATATCTCACCCATCCGTAATTCAAAATTACCCCTATACCATATCCGCTCGCATCTCCTACCCATCCGACTCTCTCGGGTTCGACTTCTGGTACGATTCTTTGCGGCTCAAAGTTTGTCAAAGCTTCTCTGTTTCAGTTTAATTACATCAGCAACTTATTCTCGTCTTTCCGTTATCTCCTTAAAGAACTTACCTCCAGCTCTCCAGATCCTCCCTTGCTGCTCGTGACAAGAATCTCTTCGCGTTCACCTTTTGCCAAGGGTTGAGCCACGCGTACAATCCCCTCATGTAAGGCTTCATATGCGGGACAATATACATCAGGTGGCCAATTTTCCCTATTATCGAGTCGGCTTCCTTCATGCTCCAAGGTCCGTCTCCTTCTAACATTCCCTTTATTGCTTCTATTCTTTCTGTCAGTTTTTCTTCGGGGAGTCTCACGGGTTTATCTACCCCATTAAATATGAATCCTAGATATTTTTGCTCCGTTGTGAATTCTCGGAGTTTCTCGAAGTTTTTCTTCACTCCCATCTGGGTGCTGATTTTCACCACATCATCAATCTGTAAGTCATCTCCCTTCAGTCTCACTATCATGTTATCATCAACCCATCTGAATATTCTGTCGATTTTCAGGTGCTTCTGTATGATCAACCGCCATGCATCGGCGACTTTCCCAAAGGTGCCGCATCCTGCTACCCCTCCGAACGGAACCGCGATGTCCATCCATATGCGGTTATAGAAGTCCTTTATAGCTAAGTACCTCCACTCCTCTTCTTTTGTGCCAGCTTGCCTGTATGCCTTCTCCCAATCATAAATCGCTAATTCGATGATCTCATTGAAGTGTTTCCTGAAGTATTTAGCTACCGCGTAAAAATCGTCCCATGACGTGTCAAAGTTATGTTTATCTACCATCGAGTTTACCAAAGGTACATCGTCATTTCCTACCGGGAATGACAAGTCGTTAATCATTCTTAGTGAACCATCCCCGTTCACTACACTACCCATTGGATTCGTTCGGAAGAATCCCCACTTGGCGAACATTTCTTCATGCGTGAAAGGGCCGAAAACTCGTCCTGCTGCCTTTTCTTTATATAGGTTCCTCATGATCTTCTCTTTTACTGCCAGGGCTGAGCTGTGATTATCTGGAGTCCACCATCTTTTATTCGTCAAGTAATGTTCCGGTATACCTTGTGTAAATCCTTCCACTAAGCCTTTTATCACCTCTTCCACCTCTTTCTTGTGAAATGAAAAGGCAAATGCCGGTAATGAACGTCCCGTGAGAAATGAAGAGTGAGAGACTGAGTTTATGTCCATTCCCTGTGCCTATTTAGAAACGAAACACAAGAGAGAGTTGAATCAGGTGCGCAGCCAAGTCAAGAGAGCGACGAACAGAGAGACAATGAGACAATGAATGAGAATGTGGTCAGCGTTGAGAAGGTGTTAGAGACAAGAAATGCACGGACGGAAACGACCACCGAGTTAGAACCTGAGAGACCAGGACAGCAATCTCACTCAACAACAAATGGGAAATGGCCTTCAAAGGCGAGGAGCGAAATGAACATAAAAGAATGGAGAGAGTTAGCAAGGAAGTGCGGAGTAGAGAAAAATGGGGGAGCTGTGACAATTCTAATTGCTACTCACGACTGGGCTGCGGCATTACTACTACTGCCTGCCTGTTTTGCTGCCTTCAGGGCTTCAAAAGCGCCCGGTCCATACTTAGGCACCGTTACCCCGTTAATCACTGACGTAGGGGCAGAGTTCACCACCGGCCTCTGTCCTCCGCCTCTTGTACATGATTTCCTCTCATAAATCCTTGTCCCCTTCTACCTTGTCCCCTTCCATTTCCATTGCTCACATTGTTGTTTCCTAATCCCTGATCGTGGTAGTCGTGTGACACGTAACTTCCCGTACTCGAACCATGAAAAACGCCTCCGTCAAAGTGATGATGATGATGGGATTGATGGTGAGATTGGCTTTTCCCGGTTGGCGCAAGGTGAGATAACATCCTTCCTCCTGTAATTGCCGTGATTTGGTCGTCTGTGCTTGATAAGAGATCCCAGCCGACTTGATGTCTTCCGGTCCAGGGATTCATGTTCTCCAAAGCTCCTCCGATGATGTACGGGTTATAAAAATAACGATGGTCACCGTTGGCCTTCGAATCCGTTATTGCTTGTTCTGCTAGTTCTTCATCTTTCGTCCTGACATCTGACAATCCTCCATCCGGTAACAAGTGGCTAAAAACATTCGTACGGTGAGTGATGTCGTAGCGAAGCGCTGGGGCCCAAGCATCATGATATTTCGCTTTCATTGCTAACACGATCTTCCGATGCTCTTCTAGTCGTAGTGCAATATCTTCTCTTTGATATTTCGACCTCCAATACTGAATGTATAAGTCGAACGACGTGGACCACATCAAGAAGCTTTGCCTCCACTCACTCGGGACTCTCAACCCTACATATGACACTATATCGGAACACGATGAACTTTGTTTCCTTCGATTTGCCATGTGTGCTTTGTCCGCCAGCAGCCAGGCTGGGACAAAGATTGTGAGAGGGACGTAGCCAAAACAAGCTGCCATCTTCCCATCCCAATACGCCGACAAGTCGATAAGCCAATGAGTGAGTGTCTTTCCTTGGCTCATCGTCTTCCCTATTTTTGCAGGTTTCTCCGTAGGCTGACTTCCGGCTTTCCTCTTGGTTTTGTCTGGCTCGTCGACTTTGTCTTCTTCACTCGAACAATTCAACATCTCGATTTGCCTCGGTTGTGATTTCACTCTTTCACACCAACCATGATAGGCTTTCTCAAGCATTTGAAATTTGCCGACTTTTCCTGTATCATAAAGTCTCAAGAGCTCCGTCACGTAGCATTTGTGTTCTCGTTTGACGTGTGCGTCTTCTTTCACAAATTCTGCTTCATCTCCTGCAACGATTCAGAACCACATCACACTGATTAGTATCTTGACTAATGCTACTTTGTTTTTCCGCTCCCAGTATTATCTTATCCGGACAACACAACTTTTTAACTTCTGGACATATTAGGACATCTGATCCACCCGTGTGGCTTCAGTCTTGAATTTAGGATCATCTTATCTAGGGCCGTGGATATGCTCCACCCGTGTGGCTACATCTCCTTCTGCTCCACCTGTGTGGTTACAGATCTAATTCTATTCCAAGGACCCGGACAATTCAACCTTACAACACTGATCCACCCGTGTGGTTTCAGATAGGTTCATTCAAGCATAGGAAGGATTAATGCCCGGAAACTTTGCTTACCTAGGGAGATGGTATCATCTTCTACAATATCTCCTCCTTCTTCCTCTTCTTGTTCCTTGATTTCTTCTTTTTCCATCTGTTTCTCTTCTGTATCATCCATGTCCGTCAAATCACTTCCTTGATCCTTATCACTCTCGTCCTGATTTCCTTCTTCTTCTGATGTCGCTTCTTTCGGATTTCATATTTTTCCTTTTACTGTACTTCTTGTTTTTCTCGTTGACGTTGTTGCTCCTCGACCTCTTCTTCCACCTCTTCCTCGACCTCTTGTCGCTTTTCCTCTTCCTCTACTTATGCTTCCTTCTTCTTTCTGACCTTTTTGTCTTTCATGTTCTTCAATTATGTTGCTTACATCATTACTGAACATTTCTGTGCTTGCTTGATTTGGATTCGACATTTATTCTTTGATAGGGAGTTTTGTTTGTTTGAAAAATGAATTAGGAATTTTTGAAAAATGAAATGATGATTTCTTTTGAAGAGGTTTAGCGTGATTCAAATCTGAAGGTGTATGAGTGGTCACAAAACAATCCCTTTGTGAAGAAGTTATTGAGTTTTGGAATTCAGTTTGATGATACATTGACACCCTTGTTTAGCATACACAGTGTCATTTTACTACTCACTGGCAGGCCAGTGAGTATGTCCAGCTCAATCCAATCTCAATCCAATCTCACATCCATGTCAGTTCAATATCAATCAAATCTCAATGTTTGGCCTAGAGTCAAGGCCGCCACAGATATGGTACTGGTATTGTATTGGCAATACCAGCACCGTATCCGGCTGAAAGATACTACAAAAAGTAGTATTTGATATTGTATCCGGTTCCCGGTACAATACCAAGCACTGTACCAACACTGCCAATACCTACAATGACGCCTGGAAGGTATCATATCCTGTGTTTTCTAAGGATATGGTACAATACCGTCATTGTCAGATAGACTGACGATATACTAAATACACCATACTGTAGGCAAAGACAATTCCCAGTACCAGAAGATCTGGTTATCCGGTATTGTATCACAGGGCGGCTACGATTCTAATTACCGTACCCTGACCTGCAGTACCACCAAAAATCATCTTGGGTATTGTAGCCGTGGCCCAGGTACGATACTCAGGGTACAATACCCATGTGACTGGATACAGTGCCACACGATATTGATACTGGTATTGTATCTGTGGCGACCTTGCTAGAGTAGCAGACAAACAACCTTCCAGAATGAACCCAAATAAAGTATGGTTGCATGTCCACACATGAAGGTGTCAGAATGTCTGGAAGGTTTGAGAGATTATGCAGCGCATGCATATCCCCCACTCGAACATAATTGGAGGTCAAACTGATATTGAACTGACATTGAATTGAGATTGGATTGAGGTGAATGGAACTCACTGGCATGCCAGTGACTAGTAAAATACACTGTGATATGGGGTTTAAGAGGAATCTCTATCTATCACAGCTTGAAGATAAGGCATCCCATGATTGTTCCCTAATTCAGATAGGATGTGTTCTGAGTTGAGGGGAAACCCTATAAACTCAGTGATAAGTGCAATGAAACTTTCAGTGCTGTTCTCGGCAGAATACACAGTGTCAAACAGAGCCGCCGTTCCACACCGGAGCTCCTGCCAACAAGCTGCGGGTGAATCCTTATCTATCAGACAACAGAGATAAGGCATAATATATTACTCACACAATTTATGTAAATGGTGTGTTCCAATTTGGGAGCAGACCCTGTAACAGTAAACGCAACAATGAACAATGATGAGCGCTATTGTTGAGTGCCACAGCCGGCAAGTGGCACCCATGATTTTCTAGATAAGGTCCATCCCAAGCCTACTGAGTAGGCCTAGTACAGAACAGCCAATGACCTGCTCACGGAGATATGAAACTTTGTGAATTGATTATCAAAGTGAAGTTTGGTTTGAAGATAAAGTCAGCTACGTGTTCACCGGGTGATGTTTCAGTGCAATCCTCATCTATAAGAATCTGAAGTGAAAACAAATCTTAATCTTTTCATGATTCAAATGGTTTTTTTTGACTTGGTTAATTTTTGGGTAGCACCCTGCTAATTTAGAGGGACTATTGGTCATACAAGAATGCATATTCTGTATGATTTTCCAGGAAGTGCATCAAGAAAAAATAAAAACCTTAAAAGAGAAGGCTGCAAAGCAAGGTCTCAAGAGGTGCAATTCTTGATCTCAGACTACAGTATAAAAGGCTCTTAAGAGGACTCTTTCTATTGCAGTTTGAAGATAAAGCATGCCATGATTGTTCCATAATTCAAATAGGATGTGTTCTGAGTTGAGGGGAAACCCTATAAACTCAGTGATAAGGGCAAAAAAAGTTTCAGTGTCCTTGTCAACAGAATACACAGTGTCAAACAAAGCCGCCAGTCCACACTGGAGCTCCTGCCAACAAGCTGCGGGTGAATCCTTATCTATCAGACAACAAAGATAAGGCATAATATATTACTCACACAATTTACGTAAATGGTGTGTTCCAATTTGGGAGCAGACCCTGTAACAGTAAACTCGACAATAAAAAATGATGAGCACTATTGTTGAGTGCCACAGCTGGCAAGTGGCACTCAGCATTTTCTAGACAAGGTCCATCCCAAGCCTACTGAGTAGGCCAAGTGCAGAATAGTCAATGACTTGCTCACGGATATATGAAACTTTGTGAATTGATTATCATGGTGAAGTTTTGTTTGAAGATAAAGTCAGCTACGTGTTCACCGGGTGATGTTTCAGTGCAATCCTCATCTATAAGAATCTGAAGTGAAAACAAATCTTAATCTGTTCATAATTCAAATGGAATTTCTTTTGACTTGGTTAATTTTTGGGTAGCACCCTGTTAATTTAGAGGGACTATTGGTCATACAAGAATGCATATTCTGTATGATTTTCCAGGCAGTGCATCAAGAAAAAATAAAAACCTTAAAAGAGAAGCCTGCAAAGCAAGGTCTCAAGAGGTGCAATTCTTGATCTCAGACCACAATATAAAAGGCTCCACTCCTTCCACAAAAGTAGGATCAAGATCACTTGTGTTGAACGTGGATTTCACTTGATAACTTCCATACTATCACAATAAAACTTGGCTTGTGCTCTACTCAATATGATGAAGAACTTGTTATGGACTTTGATCCAGCTATCAATGGCTTTTGCATTGATGAATGCACACTTGGCTGCAGGTAAGTCTTGAGATGAAATTGAATATACCATGTGGTCTAGCAACTTACATCTTTTGGACCCTTGCAGACTGGCACACAGCAGCCCGTGTTGTCTGTGACAAATTCGCAGACGTTGTCATTAGTAATGTGTCGCGTGATCCCGATTATATCACCAATAACGTTTCTCCGCATGCAACTATCGCATGCAATGGCAGATCAATGTCTCGGACAGGCAAGCTTTTCTAGAATTTCAAACAAAATGTTTTGTTTTGTTTTGCAAAACCTGATTTAGCATAGATGATATTGCATTTATGGAACATCAATACTCATTGAATAGATTTTATGGTGGCGGCATGCAGCGGCACATACAAAACCAGAGCTCCCATGCCATCGCGTAAGCCCAGCATAGATACTTACAATATCACCAAAATGAGTAGTGGTCTAAAATCATTTTCTCAACATAGAGGAATTGCACACCAGAGGACATCTGCATTATATCAATTGGAAAGCCGCTGGATATAATGTTGCTGTTTCATTCAATAAGGAGACCAGACTAATCGACGCAGTGACTTTGGTCATAACGTTAGTGTTTTTTGTGCATAAACCTGTTTGTGACGTTTTGCACATAGATGTCTGACCGTGTGTAATCAAATGACTCAAATTATTACATAGGAGGGATTATTGACTTGACCAATTATATATACATATTGTCAATGGTCATCACAAGGAATTTCAGCAATGCACTGTTCAGAAATCATTCAAAGCAAAAACCATGCTTGAATACTCAAATCAAGTTGAAATATGTAGATTGGTTCCAAAACCCCTGGGTGTGTTCAACTTGTTTGGGTTATACATACACTCACCTCTGAGGCAAATGTTTGTCAACTCGATAGAAGTATATCCTTAAGCTCAACCAAGCTTACCCAAGTGCTTCATCATTGGAAATTCTTCTGGATTATAAGTCATGGATAACGTCTCTTGTTTCAAATAAATCAGGATTGAAATAGAATTATGGTTACTTGAATAGCCAGAGAGGGTGAACGTGTATTTTGTATCATGTTACACAAGAGAACGCGAAAGATCCACAATGTGACTGCAGAATGGGAGTTGATGAGTTTTTAGCATGAAATCGGATGAGATATGTTGCCCATCATATGTCAAACCATGTCAAGTTGCCCATCCCGTTGAGAACTGTACAATTGTATGCTCGAAAAACAGTTGTGATTGATGTGGAGGTTTCTACAGTTTCTATGGCCCAAAGTGTTATGATAGATTTTTCAAATCTTGTCATAGATGGTTTGGTGAATAACATAGTCCAGTACATGAGTTTAAAAGATACTCAATGCAGACCTATAAATCTGTCCAACTGAACATACTAAAGCACAAATCAAGGAAATGATACAAAAAAATCTTCAAAGTCGGGGGTATTCTTATTATCTACGAGTCCTATAAGTGGACGCAGATGGTTTTTTATATCGACTATCGTCCTCACTCTCTTCAATATCATCATCGTCTTCATCCAATACTATTGTCGTCTTCTTAGCATTCCTACAAACAAATATACATACATAAAATCAGTCTATGCTAGCACTAATTTTTGAACTGATAAGTACTCACCTAGCAGTCGTACTTCTTCCTTGTGTTTGTGTCTGTGTTTGCGAGAATGGTAAAGTAGTCTGTGTCCCACTCCCGCTTGCTTTAGTATTACCCTTTGTCTTGCTAGTAGCTGCTGCTTTCTTAGCGGGCGCTTTCTTAGCGGGAGCTTTCTTGGCCGGTGCACTTGAATTTGGTATACCAAGCTTGTGTTAGCCAAAAAGATGTGATATCAGGCGAATTCAAGGGGAGCTGAAACTTACGCTTTCTTAGCTGGGGCTTTGGCCGTCCTCATCGTCTCACTGTCGCTCTCCGATTCTGATGCGCGAAACTGAACAAGGAAGAGCGTCAATGGAATGTGACCAAAACAATCAGCTTGATTTAAACAAGTCATACCAATTCGCGGCGCGAGGACTTTTTCAAAGGGGCTTTGCCCTTACCACCCTTTGGAGGTTCGTCCATGCCATCACTTGTATCCTTGTCTTCTTCATTCGCACCTCTCCTTTGCGGCACCTCACCCCAGTCACTCTCATCAGAACCATCATCTGCACGCCTTGCCCTCGCCGGTGCTTTTCCCTTTTGGACCACAACAAGTCAATACCATCAGTCAGATTAACCCAAGTAGATCAAAGCTCTCTGAAGAGGGTCGGATGACATTCCTCACCTTCTTCTCCGACTTGGCTTGATCTTCTTTGTCCCATTCTTCCGCAAATTTATCCTTTGCTTTATAAAGATCTTCTACTAGCTCCTCCTCTTCACTTTCAGGAGCTCTCTCGCGGTGGTCGTTGGTGGCTGAATGTTTCTCTTCTTTAACGTGCGCTTGCGCAGCTTGCAAGGCTCTATCGTAGAACCTGATACACGGAACAACAGGATGGTAAGTGCTTGTTTGGATAACTTCAGGCAAAATTCTAGCTTCAATCGGCCCCAGATCTAAAGTCGGCCACGGATTCCATGCCAGTAGACTCAAAACGTAGCACAAATGCACTCACGCTTTGATAGCATCTTTATCGTCCTTTTCAACAAACGTTGACACAGCTTTCTGCATTCCATTTTCAGCTAGTACACCCAAGTTTTGAGCTTCAAGGTATTGTCGTACAAAGGTCGAGACCTGAATATATTCAGATTTTGTTTGGGTGGGAACTATCTCGTTTTCTGGATAGTCGATCTCATTTTTTGGTTTTCCTATTCAAGATTTGAGGTCAGCTAGATGTAGTGATAAAATCACCCCAAACGTGATGGGAATTCAAAAGGAGTATCGGAAGAATAAAACGAGATATTTAACTTGTACTAGTCTTCCTCTTTCTATAAAATTGCACCACGTCTTTCGGGTTCGCAATCTTTCCAAGGAAATCTTGTCCAAATCTTTGCGGATTGCCCACTTCATAGGCACCTTGACCATCAGGCCGCGTGTATTCAACCTTCGTAGGAGCCAATAAAAAGTGATTTAGCCATTCACGTCTGTAGGGATTCATTTTCATTGGCATGGCTTACCCTCAATCTGATTAAAGGAAGCATGCGTGGCGGCTGTGGATCATCGTCAACATGGCGCTCATCCCATTCTGCATTAGCCTGGCTGATCAGCACTTCGACCTAAGCGGAAAATACTCAAAAGTTGAGTTTTTTGACTTGAAAGCGGTACCCATGTTGATGAGAGAAGATATGAACAAGCAAATGGCTGACTAGCTTGGTTAGGTATTTGATCACTTTAGTCTTTGTGTCCAGTTTGAGGTTGTTTTCTTCCTCTTCGTCCGATAGAATGATGTCGTGAAAGACAAAGGGGCGTACACTTTTGAGGGGAACAGCATTTATGGCGAAGTCGCGGCCTTGAATTTCCAAGATCCCCACTTTTCTTATTCATTGCAACAGAAAAATGCCTCAGTAACTGAAAAGTCATAATGTAAAGTTTAACCACGCTCACTTACTTTGTCAACGCCTCGCCCCTGGCCAAACTTGTGGCTATGCTGGAGCCCGGCTGACTGATATAATAACCTTTTTCAGGTATCTCGTATGGTTCAATCAAACAGTCATGCTCGTGACCCCATATTACCAGATCGATCTCGCGCCCAAACCCATTTTCGGGTACTGAATTCTTTGGTCCATGTGCAACTCTAATAAAATCACACCAGGTGAGGAAGACGGTCAATGGTCGAGAAACTTGGCGAGTCGACGAAGTCTCTTCTCGAAGTGAAGGTATTGCCTTGACAGTCAATCAAACTAGCCCTACTCACCGGTTTTGATGAACTAGCATCAAGTTAAACCATTCGTCTCGATACTCTGCCGGGCGAGACATACGAATTCGATTGCTTCTCATTTCATAATGAAATCGTTCATCCCGAATATTACCGATCCCATACATGGCTAAACGAGTATTGCCTTTTTGTAAGAGAATTGGTTGAATGTGTAAACCTTCCTCAAGTGCTTCCTCATCAGTTTGTGCATTCCCAGGTAACTCTTGTCGGCCGAAATAATTGACTAATCCTGATGCCGAGAGCACGTCAAGCGCACAGAGGGCTCCTTCCTTTCGATTTCATCGCAATAATCAAACATGGTGTATTGAGAATATACATCTAACGCCGAGATGTTCCAAGAGACGGGCTTACTGGTCCGATACCTTGAGGATCATCGTGATTTCCATGGATTGAAAACACTGGAAGACCAACATTGAGATTCTCGTCCTCGTAGTTGACTGCAGGAAAACTGTTTCACGGTGTTGGATGATCGCGTGAGTATGCAGAAGAAAACCGTTTAGACAAGCTGAGGTGAAGGCACTGACTTGAAACCATGAGGAATTCCAATACCTGCATCACCGACTAGTTCGATTCGAATAGGCCTCTGATTAAGACAGAACTCTCGCAGAGATGCAATTGTAGAGTATAATGATGCTCTTGAAGGTCGATTATGATGGAACAAATCACCGGCTAACAAAAGCATATCGACCTAATCATAAATGGTAGGAAGCATACTTCAACACAAGAGAGTCGGTATGGGTGTCATGAGTGAACAAATCTCATGATGATGAAATGGTTTTCAACCAGGATACTCACGTCATGATCGATAGCCATTTGCAGTATCTCGCGGAACGTATTGATAGAGTCTTGACCTCGGATGGGGTCAGATTCAGCATAGCCAATATGATTATCCGTGGCAACAAGGATCCTGATACCTATCAAAACCTCCAAACAGTTCTCAGAATTCGGATCAAGGACCCTTCTAGGTTTTAGCAAGGATTGATTCTAACAATGATCTAGATCCTTTGATGCGATGGTCGGGTCAGGTGCTGAGTTTCCCTCATGCGCGTTCCCGTCGCTTTGCGAGCCTTCTGAGCCTGAGCTGCCAAGTCGCCAAAGTGCGTTTCAAAGTTCTCGTCAGTCGCGTCTCGTGACCACCGTTATATCACAGCTGCGAGCTTACTACTCGTCCATGTTAGGAGATAGATGGACCAGTCGCTGGTCTACTCGATAGGGGTTCTGAAAGGAAGTTCTATCAGGTGAACGATTCAAGGATAATATGTTTTGAAGTGATCTGATTTTGATGGTGAGATGAAGAAATCTGACTTGGCACAAACTCAAGGTATCGCGTGATGCCCCGCAGTCACTGTGCTTTAGTTCCCTCTGAGTCTCGACTCTCCATCATGAGCGGGCCACGCCTTGACCTGTCTTACCAACCTTTAACTTCTCTCTCGCACATCACGATGGACTATGTACTGTTACTGCTCATGACCCTTCTCGAACGCGGTTTCCTGGTGTCAAGCTTCCCAACAAAGCTCAAGCGATGCATAAAACTACACATACTAGCTCGAGATCAGAAGAGATCAGCTAATCGCCACTAAGGAATATCATCGTACCCCGACGATGCTTCTCGAGCAGAATCCTTTGATCCGAGGTGGCAGTGATCAGTCTCAAGGCTCATTGGGAACTAGCAAGGCTTCTATAGATTATCAGACTGGATCTGATGCATATTAGCCTCCTGGTTTCAGCTTTCGAAACATCACAACTTTAGCCATTGAGGAAAGCATGGACGCGATGCGATGAAAATGATGAACCGATCCTCCGAACACAGCCTCATGAATCACTGAGGTCATAAGCAACGGTCTAGGAAACACAAATCATTCAGATTTCCCTGTGACTTGTCCTTCATCATTCTTGGTCATATCCATATTCTCACTTCCTCGTAGGACATCATGAGGCAACCTACCACTACTTTCATTTACATTTTACTTTTATCAATCTTTCAACTCTCTCCTTTCAAAGCTAGTGCTTCTTCACGCCTTCGAATCCGACGAAGTCTGATCAAAAACTTGAATGAAGTTGCAGAACTGCAACGATCTGATCGTCCTAATGATGCAGCAGTAGTACACCAAATAGTCGAAGGGCACTTTGATGCTCCTGGTACATCACCCGGTACCAAGGATCCCCAAGAAATCCACCCAGCAGACTCCATCGAGAATGCAATGAAAGAAGAAAGCCTTGGGAAAGGTGTCGGAGCCGAATTTGCTGAAGTGAAGAAGAACGGGTTTAAGAATGACCTATTTCCAGGACCACACCCTCAATCAAATGGACAAAGTTTGATCCACCTATATTTCAATATCATGAACAACCTTCCACTGAAACAAAATGCCGGAATGAAGGCAATGTGGACATTATTGAACCTCGCTCATATCGAACCAACGAGTGAAGCAAGCAAATACGGCAAGGATCTCGCTACCAAATTAGTAGAATTCCTCAAAGAGTATAGATCGACTGCTTCAAATGCAGGAAAGAAACTTGAATCGTCATATCCAGCTTTGATGAACTTCTTTGAAAACTTCTACAGAGCTGAACTATCTACACTTCCAGAGTAGAAGTTCAGCTGTTTGCCAGCTCACCTT